AATGTGCAGAAGGAAAAAAGGTATTTATTTAACACAAATAGTCTTGGCGGGGGAATAAATTCCAGGGGAGGCAGGACGGGTCCGGGTTGGCTGCAGATGGGAGGTCGGTGGAGATGGAGGCTGACTGGAGACTTACAGAAACAGGAGGGTACGGGATGAGGCTGGCTCCAAATGAAGTGCTGGGGAATAGGACAAAAGAAACAGGTAAACATCAAAAAGGTCTTTGGAATTCTCAAAAAAATCTTAAAAAGCCTGAGTAGTTCACCACAGGGAATGACGGAACGATCTGGCACTGGAGAGCAGGTCAGCAGGTCTTTTATTGTAGGAGATGATTGCTAGATGAGGATCAGGAGTGGAGCTCAGCAGGTGCATGATTGGGGCCCGCCCAGGAAAAGCCAAACAAGGTAAGTGGAAACAGGGAGCAGGGAAAGGAGGGGTAGGAGGAGCAGGGAGAACCCTCACAGCAAGTGCACCCTTCGGTGGGCCTAATAGTAGAGCAATTAGTTTGCTGCCTACTCTGAGCAAAAGTATGGGGAGGATAGTCTTTGAACAAATTCAGAATACATTTTCAGACAATAACTTCAATTATGTCTTTCAGCATGCTTACAGAAGTGGCCATTCGACTATGAAGAGCATGGCTCAAATGATGAGCTTTTGATCTTATTGACCACAACCTTGTGTTGATAAAAATGTAGTGTTATGGGTTCAGTTCAGCAGAATCAGTTTGACTTCAGTTATCTAGAAAACAGGAAACAGACTTTTTTTAATAGAAGTTTTTTCAGATGAAAGAGATGTTTTCTGTGGTGTACCACAGGGAAGCTATCTAGGTCCACCTCTGTTTTCTATATACACAAATGAGTTGTCATTGGTGCTACAAAATCCTAAAATAGCCATGTATGCTGATGTATCCTGGACTAAACACATCAGTGCTGTGGTGCGTGGGATTAGCAGGACCCTCGCAATGGTTAGAAGATGTTCCCATGTTATCTTTGAACATAGTTGTAAATGTCATAAAAACATTTACACTTTCAGAGTTAGATTACTGTGAGATTTGGTCATGTGCTGCTGTGTCGCACATAAAGGATCTGCAAATGTAAACTGGATGCATTCTGTGTTGTCCTGGTTAAAGGTAAAAGAGAGATTTAAAGCTTCCCTGAACCAAATGTGCTTCATCAAGAGCTCTGCTTTAGTTCAGATGGCACCAGTATGAAACCAAACATGGCACAGAGGGCAGATGCAAATTACCTAAAGCAAAAAAACGAGAAAAAAAAAAACATGGAAGAAGCAGTGTAAAATACAAATCAATGTCTGCTTGGTATAATCTACCAAGAGATATTATTTTTTGCAAATACTAAATGTAATTTAAAGTTCTCCTGAAAAGTCATCTGGTTTATGCTGATCTATTGTGTTGCAGTTGCAGTGAGTGACGTGTCTCTTTTGAGCTGAGGTAACATCAGTGTGAACTGGGTCCAGTGTGTGTTTGGTTTATTTATTATTTGGTTAAATTAGTAGGAAATACAGTAGAATACAGTAGAAAGCAGAACCTAAACCAAAGTGACTGTTTTTTTCACAGTTTACCCAGACTAGACAAACTTTATTGATGGGTTTCATTAGAAACAGCAAGGCTAATTTGGCAGTGTGGGAGTAGTTTCACTTTTGTAGTAAACTGCACAAATCAAATGTATTTATCTAGAATCAGGGGTTGAGCTCCACATTCTGGGCTCTGGTACAAATCATCGTAGTGAGCCCAAACTACATCTTGTCTGATGAAAAATGCACTTCACACTTTGTGAGGGGCTACAGTCCACCGCCCCTGTCTGGAATATGAAATTATTTGTTACATAAAAATACAGCCATAAAACACTCTTCTGAATGATGAAATGGTGATTTGACATTAGGTTGTATTAGTTTGTATGGGGTTGCAGATCCTAACAGCAAATAAAATATAAAAGAAAATACATAAAGCTGTTTTAAAGCATCAGTGCAATGTGACTTCCTGACTCGACCCAGGAAGGTCTCTGCAGGTTTCTGCACTGCCCCCTGTGGCTCAGAGATTAAAGTGTCTCTGCTTGACACAAGTGTCTCCATGGCTGTGACATGTTAGTGTCAAATGAACCATCTCACACTCTGAGGAGCTCAGGGACCGGCCTCCTGCTGGTGCCCAGAGTCACGACTACACACGGGGAGTCAGAGTTTGAGATTCATGCAGCTAAAACCTGGAACAGTCTCCCTGAACATGAGAGACAGCTCAGAACAGTTCTGTTGAGCTGCATATGAGTGAAAGGTTTTCATTCTACTCTCTCTTTTTTATAATGTTTATTTATGTTTTGATTTGACACTTTGAATTATTTTGTGTATGAATTGTGCTGTACAAATAAACTTGCCTTGTTGATGCCAATGAACATTGGACTTTTTTTGCTCATTAATTAAAAAAAAAATTGACAGAGGAAAAACAGCTCATTTCACACAAGTCCCTTCGTTGTCTCCTTTGACCTGCACCAACCTCAAGAGCAGCCAACCACTCCACTGACATGGGAATGGGAAACTATTCTGTTTACTTTCAAACACTGGAGATACATTCACCTTAAACTAAGCACACTGACAGCTGTCTTTACATTACAGTGGATAACAAGTATAAGGAGAGTTTATTTGGAAAGGTAAGACATTCACTTGCTCTTGAAGCTCTCTTTCTATTTCAGACTTAAACTACAGGCAGGCGAGGAGTATGTGTGTGTCTGTAGTATTGTGTGTATTATTATAATTAGTAGTATACTTATTAGATTTATCAGTACTTATACAAATGCTAACAACGAGGAGTCTGTTACAAATGCATAAAGCGCAGCTCCAAGTTGTATACTGTGCTCATACCACGGCTACAAACTGAAATGTATTCCTTGTGATGTGAAAAGTTTGTTCCCTGTTAATAAATGTCCAAAATAACAGTTATTTCAGTATTATAAATGGTGCTAGTCCCTACATTCTACTCAGAGCAGCTGAGGATGTGTTTACCTGTTGCTACTGTGATGTCATGGCGATGGCAGCAGAGCAGTGATATAGAACAGTGATTTGGCTGTTGCTGGAACTACTTGTGCATTATGCAGTACTGACCGTGGTGTAATAACACTTCAGACATGATTTCAGTACTAAGGAATTGACTCAATATTGCTCATTCTGATACCAGGGATATAAGTAAAACTCTCTTTAGGCAACAGAATGTCATATTCATCCTTAAATAGTAGTAGAGCTCTTATATTTGTTCTTATTCTCATTTGAGCAGATATCAATACCTGCTTCAATACTAGTTTAAGTATGGATTAATATCTGATTTTTAAAAATACTTTTAACACCCTAGAAGGCATGAAAAAGAATCAGATGGGCCCAAAGAAGGTGATGAACGCAGACGCAGAGATGGAACAGAGAAAGCAGCAGACAGTGCAGCAGTTCCTGAAGGTGAGGAGGGCAGAACCTGACAGACAGGAGCACAGGTCTTTACATTTGAGTTTTTTTCATGGAAGTCTGTTTTCCAGGACAAACTGAAAGAGGACGAGAGGAGCTTAGCCACCCTGAGACTTTCATCTGATCAGAACTGGAGGACTCTGTTTCGCCAGTGTAAAACCGAGGAGCAGAGGAGCCACACAGAAGCACTGAAGAACTCAATGGAGAAGCAGCTGGATCACATGGAATTCCACATGAAGGCCAGTATTGGTGCTTTTCAGATCTGAGAATGTGATGATGTCATACTCCCTAATGGGGGAAAGGGTTCCTGGGTTTTTTATTCACTCATAGAAATGATCCGATCCAAACTTTGTGACTTTAGCTTTAGGATATTCCATGGCAAATACAACGTGATCAACTGCTGGTTTTCAGATGACATCACACCATTCTACAGGTCAGTGTTATTTAATACAGATCGTGCAGCTAAACTGAATGTTGTTCAACTGCAGATTTTTGCTGTAAAACAGCAGATCTCAGGTCTAGTCAGGAATAGAAATGATCAGGTTCCATATTTGGGAATTTACATTTGTGGTATTTTGTAGCAAAGTACAGTGTGATCAACAGGAAAATCTGGCTCCTGCTCCTGTCCTGGACTATGACATCATCATTAGACACCTGCAACTCCCACCCTGACTCCAAATCCATCTCCTGCCTCCAACTGGTTCAGAACACAGCAGCTCAGCTCCTCACTGGGTTTAACAGACATCATCACATGACCCTGTTTTACTTTCACTGGCTGCCTGTGCGTTTTAGAATCGATTTGAAGATTTTACTGATCACTTTTAAAGCTCGTTTACGTCTTGCACCAAGTTACATTTCAGAACTTTTAACCCCGTATGAGCCCTCTCGCAGCTTTAGATCTCAGGCAGATCCCTGAGGCTGTTCCAAAGTCCAGGCTCTGGACGAGGGCTGATGGAGCCTTTTAAAACCCATTTTTATCAGTTGGCCTTCATTTAACTGGTTTTAGCTTGATTTTATTTGTTATTTATTTTCATTCAATTTCTTTTTATTTATTGATTATAAATAATTGGATTGTTTGCATCGTTGTCTGTTTTTGTGCTTTCTGTCTGCTTTCTGATTTTTGTATTGTTCATTGCTGCTTCTACAGCACTTTGTAAACCTTGTTTTTTAAAAGATTTTCTTCTTCTTATTATTATTATTATTCTTATTACATTCTAGAATCTGAAAACCACCAAGTGATGACTCTACTTTGGCCATGATGTTATTGCTTTGTCTCACTGTTTCACAGTATGATATTAAACCTTTCTATCTACATGGAGACCAAACCAGACCAATTTACAGGTCAGATCTGTGGAGAGACAACCCTGCTCACAGTCAGAATGCTTTTTTAGTTTTAGTTTTCTTTATGTATAAAACCAGACAGGGCAATGACATGTGCATAGAAACAAGCAGGTGATGGAAACCCCAAACTGAAGAGTTACACAGTGCACCTTTGAAGAGTCATTCTAAAGAGCCGCCCATCTGTGTGATTGGCCGTGCAGGAAATGTGCGAGGAGGAGGAGAGACACATGGTCAAGGAGATGGAGCAGTGTTTCCTCGAGCACGTGTCCCAGCTCAGTAACATACAGAAGAAGCACTTGGAGCGGAGGGAGCAGGAGTGGGAGCGCACCATGAACCGTCTCAAGAAGTACCACAGTCTCAAAGTGTGAGTCAGACACGTCCCTTAAAGCACCTGGAACATTTATAATACTAAAAAACAGTTAAGATCGTTGAACAGGGTGAACCCAAACATTTGACATCATTTCGCAGGCCAGTAATTTTGGCAATTCTTGTTGAAATAATCTCAAATTTTCACAGAATGAATAGAAATAGATCAAGATTTTATATGAATGTTTTGTTTTTGTTCTGTTTTCAGGTTGAGCCGTTCACTCCCAAAGAGAAGTCATTTTGCACCCACCAGAGACTGTGCAGCCTTCAGTGCAACATTTGGAAAAACTTCACCAACTGGCAAACAAATTTAGACTTGGTTCCAAAAAAGAGGAAATCTGTTTATGCAGGGCTGAAGGATTTACATAGTGTGTAAGAGCAGATTCCAAGACGCAAAATGACTTCTCTTTGGGAGTGAATGGCTCAACCTGAAAACAAAACAAAAATAAAACATTAGAGAAAATATGATATAAAATCTTGATCTGTTTCTACACATTCTGTGAAAATTTGAGGTTATTTCAACAAGAATTGCCAAAATTATTGGCCTGTGAAATGATGTCATTTTTTTGGGACACCCTGATTTAAGATTTTACTAAAAATGCTTACACAGTTTGGACATTTTATTTAGGTTGGGTTTCAGATTTTACTTCCTGGTTGGGAATTATGACATCACGCTAGGGAATTCCACTCTGTCACCTGGCAACCATGTTTTGACATCTATGTGGTGTTAACTGTTACGTTTTATTGTTCTGACAGATTGGACTCGTCATTTTTAATACTAAAATGCAGTTAAGATGATTGTATTTATGATTTAACAACACATTTTAACACCGCGGCCATTTTATTTTTAGGTTTCAGTTTTTTACTTCCTGTTTGGGAATTATGTCATCACTCTGGGGAATTCCACTCTGTCGCCTGGCAACCATGTTCTGCACTGGACCCAAACTCCTCGAACCTGCACAGGAGTTATTATTTGACAAATAAAAATACAAGAAAACACTTTATTTTGCTGAAATGACGTATAAAGTGCCAGAAATTTGACACAGAAAATTGTGACAAACTTTTGGACAGAATTCCCAGTGTGATGTCACAAAATGTTTCTTTGTGTAAAACGGTCATTTATATTTACAACAGGTATTATACCAAATTAAGCCACAGTTAGAGAGGGGTATTAAAGAGCGGGTATTTGAACCAGAGTACTGCATGGGTCGGTTTTTGGAGACCCGCACCCGCCCACACCTGCGCAGTAGAGCACCACACCCGCCCGTAAACCCGTCATTATATCAAAGTTAAACCCGCATCCGCCTAGACCCGTTACGCGCCCGTGCACGAGATAAACCACACACAAATGAAAAACATTCTAACTGAAGCATCCATCAGAATATGAATTGAAAAGTTACGACTTCAAGAATTACAATCACCAAATGAAATTGAACGGTTACGCTTTCTTCAGTACGACTACGAAGTCACAGACGCGACTCGACTGTCAAAAATCCATCCTCACTTCACAGGCTTTATTTACTGAGCAGAAGAAACACTGATTGAGACCACACACACCGGGACTAAACCAGGACTAAACCAGGACTAAACCAGGACTAAACCAGGACTAAACCAGGACTGAACCAGGACTAAACCAGGACTGAACCAGGACTAAACCAGGACTAAACCAGGACTAAACCAGGACTGAACCAGGACTAAACCAGGACGGACCCAGGACTAAACCAGGACTAAACCAGGACTAAACCAGGACTAAACCAGGACTAAACCAGGACTGAACCAGGACTAAACCAGGACGGACCAGGACTAAACCAGGACTAAACCAGGACTGAACCAGGACTGAACAAGGACTAAACCAGGACTGAACCAGGACTAAACCAGGACTGAACCAGGACTAAACCAGGATGGACCCAGGACTAAACCAGGACTAAACCAGGACTGAACCAGGACTAAACCAGGACTAAACCAGGACTGAACCAGGAATAAACCAGGAAGGACCCAGGACTAAACCAGGACTAAACCAGGACTGAACCAGGACTAAACCAGGACTAAACCAGGACTAAACCAGGACTAAACCAGGATGGACCCAGGACTAAACCAGGACTAAACCAGGACTGAACCAGGACTAAACCAGGACTAAACCAGGACTGAACCAGGACTAAACCAGGAACCAGGACTAAACCAGGACTAAACCAGGACTAAACCAGGACTAAACCAGGACTAACCAGGACTAAACCAGGACTAAACCAGGACTAAACCAGGACTAAACCAGGATGGACCCAGGACTAAACCAGGACTAAACCAGGACTGAACCAGGACTAAACCAGGACTAAACCAGGACTAAACCAGGACTGAACCAGGACTAAACCAGGATGGACCCAGGACTAACCCAGGGCTGATTCCAGGACAGAAGCAGGAGGACTAAACCAAGTCCAAGATTAGTCCTGGTGTTGTCCTGGTTTATTCCTGATTTAGTCCTGACCCGCCCGTGTGTAATCATACCCTCCTGTAAAATTCCAGAACATTAAAACCCGCCCGTTTCAGCAACTATTCGCCCGTACCCGTGAGGTATCCGCGGATATCCAACCCGGTGTAGATTTGATTGATTCTGATTTGAAAACTATGTGGTATTAATGTTAGGTTTTATTGTTTTTGAAAATGCTATATTCACCAAAAACAACATATTAACATGTTCTTTTTACTTTCCGCCCATCCTTTGCTCTCCAGCCTAAGTCACCCCCCCTTCAGAGCACTATTACAGTACACTCGTTGTGCGTTGCGCTAATGGAACTACTGCACATCCAACTGAAGCTGTAAAATTGTGATGTGGGAGCCTGGGAGACGTGGGCTTTTGGGCTGGATCATACATCTGTGTATTAAACGTCGTGTTGGTGGGTTTGATTGTGATTTTAGGGAGGAGACGTCTTCTGAAGACATGTTCAAGTCACTGACGCTGGACGACCCTTTGTCCAGTCCTGAAGACCAGTACGAAGAGCTGCTCAAACAGATGTTGTCCGTCATGTCCTCTCTGGTGGACAAGAACGAAAAAATCTTCCAAACCAAGGTCTGTGGAATTGTGGAAATGTTAAAGTGTGTTTTTCTTTGACTTCATTTGGTGGGATAATACCTGATGTAAATATTTAGTTTTACACCAATCAAGAAACAATTTGTGAAGAAAAGTCCCAGTCCATTCACAGTTTTAAAAACAAACAAAACAATCTTAAAATCAATTCTAAAACAAACTGGAAGCTTGTTTTTTTTTTTTTTTTTTGGTTCCTGTTAAAAGTGCGTTTTGAGCAGTGGTGGATAGATCAATTTGATTAGTTAAAGGTGCTTGTGTATGTATCTTTTTGGTTGGGGGTCCATCACCCGTCTGTTTCTATGGACATGTGACTGTTCTGCCTTAAACATTACATTCACATTCAACAGTTCTACTTTACATTTATTCAATTACAGGTAGTTTCATAGTTCAAAAGTATTTAGAAAAAGAGACATTCTGACTGTGAGTGGGGTCGCCTCTCCACAGATCTGACCTGGAACTTGGTCTGGTTTGGTCTCCATGAAAATAGAAAGGTTTAATGCCATACTGTGAAACATTCCAAACAAAGCAATAACATCTCCATGGAGAAAAGCAATGGACGGACCCTCCACCAAAAAATTTACACAATGTACCTCTAAGTAAAAGTACAGACACAGGGGCAAAAGGTTACTATTAAGTTAAAGTATCACATGAAAAAAACTGACTAATAAAACGTTTGAAGTACATGCTTAAAAATGTACTTTAAGACTAAAAAGTAAAAGTATTTTGCAGAGATGTTTACAACTATTCAAACTTTCTTCATCAGGGCATGTTGTCATCTCTTTTTTCAACTAGTAAGTTTATCTGCCCACTTGGAATCTCCGAGGAGCACCTGATTGTTACTTCTCTTAGAGGTGATCCAGCAAGCGCTCTAACTACATATTTTCTGTGTCACCTTCTCTTTCTTGTATTTTGCAGAGAAGGGAGATGTTAGAAAAGTACAGAGAAGCCATAAACAAGGAACAAGACCAAATGGAGACAGCAAAAGACAAGTTAGACATGGTGACCTCAGAGCACCAGCGCCTCACAGAGAGACTGGAGAGAGTTGCCAAGGAGCTCCAAAATGACAAGGTCCGTGCCCTTCACTTGTGTCCATTCACACAACATATGTCAATGGTAAATTATAATAGCATTTATCTACTCAAGCCGTTAGTGTTGTCACGATAGTACTGACATTTTCAAAACTCTGCTTATTACAATTTTGCGATATACAAAATATACAAAGCCTTGTCTCCAATAATATATAGACGTGGGCAAAATTGTTGATACCCCTCTTATAATGAAAGAAAAATCAACAATTATCACTGAAATAACTGAAAAAACTGAGAAAAGCAATAATAGATAAAAAATTAATGAAAATTGTCCAATGAAAATCAAACATTGCTTTTCACCTGTGGTTCAACAGAATAATTTGAAAAAAACAAAACAATGAAACTGGCCTGGACAAAAATGATGGTTCCCTTAACTTAATATTTTGTTGCACAACCTTTTGATGCAAACTCTGCAAACAAATGATTTCTGTAACTGTCAGTGAGACTTCTGCTCTGGTCAACTGGTATTTTGACCCACTCCACGTGAGCAAACTGCTCTAGTTGTCTCAGGTTTGAAGGGTTCCTTCTCCAGACAGCATGTTTCAGCTCCTTTCACAGATGTTCAGTAGAATTGAGATCTGGGCTCACAGAAGAACACTCCAGAACAGTCCAGTGTTTTGTTCTTAGTCATTCTTGTGTGTTTTTAGTTGTTTTGGGTCATTATCCTGTTGGAAGAACCATGATCTACAACTGAGACAAAGCTTTCTGACACTAGGCAACACATTTTGTTCCAAAATCCCTTGATAGTTTTGAGATTTCATTGTGCCCTGTCAAGACACCCTGTGCCAGATGCAGCAAAACAGCTCAAAAACAAAACCAAGTCTCCTCCATGTTTCACAGTAGGAACAGTGTTCTTTTCTTGGTCTGCTTCATTTTTGCGTCTGTGAACATAGAGCTGATGTGTCTTGTCAAAAAGCTCCACTTTTGTCTCATCTGTCCAAAGGACATTCTCCCAGAAGCTTTGTGGCTTGTTAATATGCATTGTGACAAATTCCAATCTCACTTTTTTATGATTTTCTCAACAGTGGTGTCCTCACATGAACTGCACTTTGGTTCAAACAGTGACCTTAAACTTGTGAACCTTAAACTTGTGAAGAACATGTGTAACTGTAATCACAGGAACATCAAGCTGCTTGGAGATGGTCTTATTGTCTTTATCTTTAACCTGCTTGTCTATCATTTTCTTTCTAGTCTCCTGACACAGTTCTCTTCTTCTCTTTCTCTGCTCCATGTTCAGTGTTGTGTCCATCATGTCCATGATGGACACAACAATTATAATAAAAACAAAAAAAAATACAAGATGGAACAAAACAAAACACATGCACAAAAATATAATAATAATAATAATAATAATAATAATAATAATAATAATAATAATAATAATATAATAATAATAAATTATAGGGCTGCCTCAATATTTAGCTACTATTTAAAATAGTCAATAAAATGTTGCCAGATAGCATAAAAATGCTTTTTTTTTTTTTTTTTTTTTTTTTTTGCGAGTGCCATCATAGGGTCCATTGGAGGCTGAGTGTTGAAGATCAGTGATAAGAGTCTTGAATGTCTGATACAGACATTTTCAACATTCAGTCTTTTCTGTTCCCATGTGGTCTTATACAGTATGTGTGTAATCCCTCAGTGGTCCAGGTAGGTTCCATCGTGGTCCATGGGTGTGTACTAGTCTCTATACTATATATACTATATATACTATATATAATATACTGCTCTTCTACTTGTTCTGATCCAGCTCAGCATTATTCTGAAGACATTCAGGAAAAGTTCATTTCTGTCCTGTGAATGGGACTTTTTTAGTATTGATACCTGCTCAAATGAGGATCTAGTTTTGATAGTAGTTTTAATATCAGTTAGTATCTATGGATGATTTTTGATGCTTTTCACAACCCTTTCCATAGCAGCATTTATCTACTCAACTCATACAGAATCAGTCCCCTCTTGAAAAATATTGACTTAGTTTCCTTAGTAGCTCTGTGGTTCCAGTTAATGTCTTCAACATCACAGAATAATGAAACAGTCACCAAGTCCAGTTTGACATTTTATTTGGGGTTTGTTGATGAATTGGCATTGTGGAATAGGCAGGAATATGGAGGAATTAGTGTGGTAACTGACAGTGGTAAATAATAAGTAAAAATGCAGTGAAATAAATTAAACTCAGCTCACTTTCATTTATGCACTAATCCATGAAATCCACAATAACAGATTCCTCCTGCTCTGCACAGCACAAAGAGAGTGGACAATGGGAGGGCCCACAAAGGAAGCAGGAGTGGGAGGGAGGATTTTCTAAACCTCTGAATCATCCTTTCTTCTGTTTTTCATTTGATCCCAGAAAAAAAAGAACGTGCTCCAGTCCAAACGCTTATCACAAGAGACAGAGTTGGCCAAAGTGAAGGAGCAGCAAGTGCAGATCGAGAGCCAGAAGCAGAAGTTGAGGAGCCGGGTGGACTGTGGTAGAAAATCAGCCAGAGAGCGTCTGATCCAGCTCTCCATGCAGAGTAACCGAGCAGCCACGAGCCTCAGCCACGCCATCTCACAGGTCAAACACACAGACAAAATAAAAACATATACAGTGTTTTTCCACCTTCAAGTGCTTTTACAACAATGAACCACTCACCCATTGACACACCAGTGTACACAGACACAGGGGTTGAGGTGGGTTAAGTGTCTTGCTCAAGGATACAACAACAACATCAGCATGTATGTGGGACATGTGAACTGCCAACCTTCAGATCAGTGAACAAATGCTCTACTGACGGAGCTACAGCCGCTCTACTGTTATTCTGAAGTAACGTTACTCTCAGTCGAGTACATCTTTTGGCTACTCTTCCCACCTATGGCTCTCGTGTCAAAGATATTCCTGAATCATATTTCATTTAGAGCGCATTGTGTAACTTTTCTGGTGGAGATGTTATGGCTTTGTCTGGAATGTTTCACAGTATGGTATTAAATCTTTCTATCATCATGGAGAACAAATCAGAACAAGTTACAGGTCAGATCTGTGGAGAGGCAACCCCACTCGCAGGTTTTCCTAGGTCTTTATGAGTAATAGGAGTAGCAGATACTGGCACACAAGTCTAGAGCGCCCTCTCGTGGCTGTCAGTGTGAAAATTTTAATATATAAGTCACAGGACCACCCAAACCATGAAAAGTGCGACTTACAGTTCGAAAAATGCAATATTAAAACTTTAAATGTAGTAATTTTGATTAAAGAAAAAAAAAGCAAATTTTAAGTGGCTTAATTGATTTGTGTGCTGATGTGTACTGTCACAATACAGGGTTCCTCAAACATGTGAATGTGTACTTGAAACAAAACACAACTCCAGGTCTGTTTCTGAGGAGAAAATATAACATGGTTATACATTCATGACATTTACTACACAATTTAAACATGATTCATTTAGAAACAGTCAGGCTTGTCTTGTGTTCATAGTTTGGTAACAGCAGGTGTGTTTCAGGGTGAGAGGGTTCTGAGGATGGCTGCACTCTGTAAGAAGATGGAGGACAAACTGCAGCTGACTGAGGAGCTTCAGAAGGTTGTTGAGGAGAACCAACAAACAGAAGATGGAGCACAGGAGGTCAAACCACCATATCCAGGCCTGTTAACATATGATGTAAACATTGTACTTTCTCTTATAGACTTCACATTTGTTTATGTTGATGTTTTCCATGATGTCAAGATTTGGGCATTGAGACATTTAAAAGTGTACTATGTCACTTTTTTGGGGAAAGGTCTGCCACCTGCTTGTCTCCATGGAGATACTGTTGCCTTGCCTGGAATCAATCAATCAATTAATCAATCAATCAATATCACTTTAACTGGACAATGTAAGCACACTGAGCAGTAAAATGTAATAATAATAATAATAATAATAATAATGATGATAATAATAATAATAATAACAACAACAACAACAATAATAATAATAATAATGATGATGATAATAATAATAACAACAACAACAACAACAACAACAACAATAATAATAATAATAATAATAATAATAATAATAATAATAATAATAATGACAGAAAAGCTCCAACAAAAGTTTCAGTGCAGCTCAACGGGTCGAGTCATCAGATCCAGTGCCAGGGCAGTTTGAAAAGAGAAGCCCTCAGGACAAAAATGTCCCTCCTCTGTGTCCTCTGTGTCCTGTAGTATCACAGCAGCCTCCAGGGGGCACCAGGTGAATTCTGGACACACAACAGAAAGTGTCCTTCAAGACCGTTTGTCTCTCCACTGGTGGTGATTCCCTTAAAATGTTTCTTCTGGAAGGTTTTCTGTCATATTTAGAGGAGAAAATCTGTCGCATGGTAAAAGTGTAAATGTCTGTAGCATTTCAGAGCTACACAATCCAACAGTCCTTAGCATGTGTCCCACAGAATGTTCAACAGTGTGGCATTAAACTTACCTGTCACCATGGAGACAAGCAGATGACAGCATTATTAATATTAATTAAGACTGTATTACAAGTGCATCACATGTATAAATGTCTGTCTGTGCAGAAGTGTGAGCTCCCGGAGCTCAGACTGCTGGAGCTGCAGAGTGCTGTAGTCAGAGAAAAGTGCAGTGTGCTGCAGAAACAGAGAGATGCTCTCCGCCGCCAGAACCAACAACTGCAGAGCCAAATCACAGACAAGCTGAGTGCACGCCGCCACCTGGAGGTCAGGAGGGGTTCTGACTCTGGGCCTCCCCACAAACTATAACTGATTGTTTCTCTTTTAAACTACATATTCAAAACTGTTTCACAGGCTAAAGCTTTAGAAGGAAAAAATAAATAATTAAATCATATTTTGCCAATTGAAATAAAGCTAAAAGAAATTAAAATATTATGAGCACGTTTTGTAATTTTGTCTCAGTCATTTGACATATGGCTCTCAAATGGACCCAAAAAGTGATGTGCCCCATTTCTAATACACACAAATATCCACATACAAAATGTTCACTGCAAACTCAGGATGATTTAGACAGTCAAAGGTTTTCTTTTTCGTCCTTCCTGTGGATCAATCCTGCCCATTGCCTTCACCTTTCACAATTTTTCAATTCCGTTGGGAAGAGAAACAGTTTGAACAGAGGATTGAGTCACACACATCTGATTCACTTTTGCAGTTATGAAATTCGCAAACAAATTTCTCGAGCTGTTTTCCGCTGTTAGGATCCAACAACCACACAATTACGATGGCTGAATCCCAAAACTAAAATATGACAATATCAGAACCAGAAACAAAAGCGATATGGTTGAAAAGACTAGAAAAGATCGACTTTGTCAATACAGTAGACGCTTCCCACTGGGAAAACAAACTTGCTCACTTTTTCGGAAAATCCTTCCCAGTATGTATTGCACAATGACCGGAAGTCCAAAATTTGAGATGCATGTATTAAAGAATCACCAAATGAATGTGCTGTTTAAATATACAAGTTACTTTACATTTATTTTGTTTTTGTAGGTCCTTTTCTAAATGGAATCTGTTACCCATTTCTCATTCTCCCTGTAGAGATCATGTAAAATATGGTTACTAAATATAGACCTAGAGTTTGAAGATCTAGATCAAGTTTAGACTGGAAATAGTACAAGTCATCTGTGAGTTACGGAAACCACCTGAAGCAGCATCTGCCCGTTATATGCATGCATCACTTTACTTCCTAATAGAAGGTGGGAGGTGCAAGTGGTTTCAAAGTTTCTTTAGAATGATAATTTTTCATTTGTCGTGTAGCATATCAGAGAGCTCACTTCAAGATGAATTGTTCTTATAACATTACTGTGCTGAGCTCTGTCCTCCCTCCAGTCCTGGGTGTGGCGTTCACTTTGGGAGCTGTGGGGAACGCCTTTGCTCTGTGGATCTTCTGCTTCCACCTGCGGCCCTGGAGGAGCAGCACTGTCCTGCTCTTCAGCCTGGCTCTGGCCGATGTTCTGCTCCTCGTGGCCTTACCGTTCCGAATCAGTTACTACAGCTCCAACCTTGAATGGGAATTTGGAAACACTTTTTGCAACATCTGTTACTTCCTTGTAGTTATGAATCGCACTGGGAGTACATTGTTTCTAATCGTGATTGCGTTGGACAGATACATGCATGTGGTTCATCCTCATCACCCTGTTAACTTTATGAGTGTCTCCAAATCTGTGTGTGGGGCTGTGATTCTCTGGCTCCTGACAGTCATGTTGGGCGCCTTCTTCACTCTATACAAATCCAACAAGAGCTACTGTGGAGACTTCAGAAGCCAAATTGAGCGGAATCAGATTATATCCGGCCCCAAACTGGCATATCTGTTGGCCTTCTATGTGCCTTTCCTGGTGATTCTCTTCTCTACTACGAGTATCGTCCAACACCTGCGGAGAAGACGGCTCGCCCAACACACCCAAGTGAAAAAGGCATTGTTGGTCCTGATATCAATGATCATTCTCTTTGTCGTCTGCCTTCTCCCAACTAACATCACCCAACTGGTGATTTGGTCAAAGGCAAGAACCATGGCAACGTGGGGCTGTGCAGAAAGGGAACAAATGACAAAAATCTATTCTCTGACTGTGAGCTTGACCTACCTGAACAGTGCTATGGATCCAGTTGTATATTTCTTTTCCAGCTCAGAGTTTAGGAGCAGGTGCAGGAGAGTGTTGGTTCTAAAGCCGTCCATGGATTCACCTGCACAGGGAGACGCCAGAGAGCCAGACGCTGTAGGCAGAGAGCAAAGTTGGGACCATCTTAACATCTGATGTTTGTTCAAAGTGTCCAGGGGTCTTGTATAGCATGAACGTGACTTTCCACATTTAAGGCTAACAAAATGTACTCTTTGAGCTTTAAGATAGAATGCTGTTTCATTCACATGTTTGAGTAATTATTTTTATTAGTCTCTAATCTCTAATGCTCAAAATGCTTTGTTCCACCCTGTGATGTCTTGAAGTAGTTTTCAAGTTGATAGTTACCTTTTGTTCTGTAGGAATTGGCAGCTAGATCCAAATGATTCTAGTGAAGGTGTATGGAGTTTAAAAAAAAACATTGGAATACTTCCTGCATTACCAGATGACATCACAAAGTGAAACCGAGTACTTCCTGTTTGAGCTTTGTGTTTTAAACATGTGTGCATAAAACAAAACACAACTCCAGGTACAGAATAGAGGAATATAGGTAATATAGTTTGTAATTTAAAACAACAACTTAATGTGAAAATACAGTTGAATTTATATTACATTTTCAATGCATTTATTGCAGTGGCTGAAATTTATGAAGTAATATATAAAAATATGATCTTATTCTGCATAAAAAACTGCTAACCCTGTAGTTTAGCTCTATCCGAACATGTTCTGAATGATTCTTGTATTAGTGTGTCAGTTTATAACAGAAGATTTCAGTCTTTTTGTCATTTCCTCTGGGCAGGTTTAAAATGTGAATTTAGAACAGAATCTTGTAAGTCTAACCTATCTAAATGCTCATCAGAATTCCCCCCTCCACATTGCAGTTTGGTTGAAACACAACTTTGTGCGTGGGTACTTTCAGAGATAAGGCTGAAGGACATCTGTGCTCAGACTGAAGAGAGAGAAGAGAAAATTTGTGCTTATGTATGTCATTTTGGTTAGATTTCTACGTGCAGTTTGATAAATGAGATCCCAGATGTGTGATTAGGCCTTTACACTATTTTCTGTTTTTAATGCACTTCTAACATCATTGAGTTACAATTATATTATTTCAATTTAAATGTTTCAGGCATGGACAAAAAGGTCATTGATGGTTTCCAATACAAAAGAATTCATTATTTTGCCTCCAATATTATTATTAGAAAAATATATGTACAACTTTGATTCTATTTGTAATAAGGTGTGTTCTTTCAGTATACTGGTCATTTTATTTGTGTACATGTGTAATTTGGCACATGTGTGAGTAATTTGATTTGTGCTTGCACAATTCAACTTGTGTGTCTATGCCACTGGAGACACACAATGCCATCGTCATTGTAAATTTGAAGGTAATCTCAATTGTCTTACCTATTTGACCTCAAAAGCTGTTTATACAATATTTTGGCATACTTTGCTCAAACACACAGGTAAAAAAAAATAAGGTAAAGGGCCATTACCTAGAAACCAGAGTTCCTCTGAAACTGAAATTTCCACACTGTACCAGGTACCATGGACAAACTAAAAACTTTGTGCTGAAGTGGAGCACTTGACAATCGTGTGTACATGCTCTTAGAACCTTGGTGTACCTGGACAGTGTCTTTGCCCCAGGGCTGTACTACTTCTCTAAAGTGACTCTTACTTTTGTAGTACTTTTCCTAAATTCTTTTTTACTTGAGTAATTTCTTGGCTCACTACTTTGTATTTCTACATGAGTAAAATTAATTTGAAGTAATGTTAACATTTTTGGCTATTCTACCCACCTCTGCTCATTATTCTGAAACCCATGGACACCAGATTACAGCCCCAATGTTTTGTTTTTTTTTTTGTTTTTTTTTGGACAGTACTAAGGTAACAGTATGACTTTTTATATATAAGCTATTGTATGTATTTAGTGTGTAAATATGTAAAAATGTTGTCTTTACTTGGTTTATTAGAGGAGACCAGGGCATCTTCTTGGTAATCCTTCCTTCATTCTTTCTGTAACAAAACACAATAAAGACATTATGAAAATACTACATCTCAGCTGGATTTGTACTTCTGATTTTATCTTTCTATCTTACATTCACACAGACAAACATGTAGCATGACATTTTAAGTCATGGGCACAAACTACTGTAGTGTTATACTTATATAACACTATAAGTATATTAGTCTTATAATTTTTCAGATACAGCTCAAGATTGTTGTAAAGACATTCAGGAAAGGTTCATTTCTGTGACTTTTTAGTATTGATACCTACTCAAATGAGTATCTAGTTTTGATACAAGTTTAAGTATCAGTTAGTATCTGACATTCAATACTCCTGACAACCCTAGTAAAAACCATGACATGTTCTCTAAAAGGACAGTTACAAGGCTAAAATATACTAAATTAAAAGATTTTCAACGCCATTTTAGATCAGTATTTTATATAAATGGAATTATATAATAAAATATAAGTGGAATTTAATCATTTTAAACCACAGTCTGCATTTTCCTGAGCTCTGTCCAGTCAGAGCAGGCGATGCTGTGCTGTTGTGTGTTGTGTGTTGTTTTGGAAAGGAGTGGATACAACAGTGAAACATTTGTGGAATAATTTGGACTTGACAAATATAAGAACAGGTTTAAAAATCTACTCAAAAAAAGAAGTTACTCAAAAATCTACTCAATTACAATAATGTGAGTATTTATAATTTGTTACTTTCCAGCCCTGTCTCCGGGTGGACTGTGTACAGTCTGAATATTTATGTTTGTAAAGGGCTAGAGTGACTTCCTGACCTTTCTAGAGACTGCAATATAACCTCAATAATAGATTAGAAAAAAGAAAAGTACATGGAAACTGTATAGACTATTTATATACGAGACAAATTTAACTTGAAAATCATGAGTTTAATCTGCCTTTTTACATAAATAAATACCAAATATTCAGCAAACTGCTGTGAGTGAGTAACTCACTCCTTTCTGCTGTCCCCATATAAATCCTTATCATCTAAATTAGTGGTTCTCAAATTCAGGTCCAGGAACCACTGTGTTTGGGGTTATGATATATATCCCCAAACATATAATAATGTTGACTGAATGAACTACATCAACAAATAATGACTACAAAGAAATTAATCTTTCATCCAAATGTGGTTATAAACATGGTCTGAAAATGTTTGAGAATCTAAATAAATTAAATGATTAGCCAACTAATACAAATGTTCGTTGACTATGACATCATGACCGACTACGACTAAAGGAATACAATACTAACCTGATCATTTCTATTAGGGACTACTAGATCCAATTATTTATTTATTTTTTTTTAATCTGCATTTTAATAATATATTTTAGCCACCCCCATCTATATTAAATATAATTGAATGTTGTGATGTGAGGTAGGGATGGGCATGATTAATCGATTAATCGATAATTGATCATTAAGAATTTAATCGATTACGTTAATTTTAATCTACAAACTGAATGTAGGTTGCTGTGTGTAGTGTGACCAAACAGGTCTGTACATGTGTCTCTGCATCAGAAGGAGCGAGACACAAACAGTCGGTCAGTCTGCAGCATACCGAAGCATAAATGTGTATTTAACGATGATTTGTACAAGAAATTCCACGGTTTCCGTTGCATTCGGGACAAGTGTGAGTCCATGTGCACAGTGTACAAAGCAGCACATATGTTTCAGTGTCCAGTGAGAAAAGTTTTGCCAGGTGAGAGTAGCGCAATGTCGATGACGAGTCCCCACACCCCTATGGTGTCCTGGTTTTGACAAACGCAAATCTGGTCACACTAACCTGTATTCACCTGAGTCATGTCTTTTAATCTGACAGAAATTGACCGCATCAGCGACACAAGAGCTGTAGTTTTATCTTCACTTAGTTTATGCAAATTAGTGATGTGGTTTTAAGTTTTGTTTCTGTGAGAGTTGCGCAAAACTGAATTAAACACATTATAATGTCAAACGGATTGATGTGGCTCTAGAGTGGTTACGGTTTATATGTCGTAAAGTTGAATTTATTTATGCAGATTAGTAGTGCAGATAGTAATAATAATGATGATCATTTTAATATAAAAACGTTAATGATTTATCGATAATCGATCATTAATTCTTCCGACGATCGATTAAGAAAATTTCATCGAATGCCCATCCCTAATGTGAGGTAAATAATGTAACTTTTCTGACCACCTGCTTGTTGACATGCACTGTCAGTTGCTTTGCCTGAAATGTTCCACAGGTTAGCATTAAATAATATCATGCAATCAAGTGTTTTTATTGCTCAAAAATGTAGAAATAAACATGTATTCTCACTGTTAGTGGGCTAGATTCTCCATAAATCTGACCTGTGACTTGTCCTGATGGCACCACCTGAGCTCCTTCTCCAGCTCGAGAAGCTATTGTCCTACAAGGAAAACTAAAGTGTTTAAAAGATGTTATGGAGCAGTAATGGTAATAAAATACCTTATAGAAGCCATTCACATTCTGCCCCTTTCTCAAAATTCTGTCTAATAATCTAGTAACTACCTCTTCTCTAGAGAATCTTTGGGGACCTGATCCCGAGCTTGGGAATGGCTGAGATAGAGTTCTATGCCAATCAAGGCATTCTTGGTGACACATTCTATCAGAAAAGTTCTAGTGCTCCTTTAAGGCTACTGTAGTTGAAGATCTGCACTTCTGCATAAACAGCCTATGACAGACTTATGTGTTAGGTTTATCTAAACATTATAAACAAGAAGAAAGACAAGAGATTAATTCAGTTTTACTCATGAGGAGAACGGGCAGAGAGTGGGCATCAAAACCAACAGTCTCCACACGTTCTGATGACTCAAGGCCGTTCTCCTCCTTTTATTTCATTAGGAGGCCCTAGTTACAGAATGATAATTCTCAAGGGGAAGGGGAAACCAGCAAAGACATAATAAGAAACTGATGCAGCTATGCATAGTACAAACACATAAAACATGATTAACAATCAGGAGGTGCCTTAGGTCAGACACCATCATAACTCTTGCATGTGTGACAGTGGGAGTTGGCTTCATGTGAGGAATCATCTCGAGATCACTAGAGCGATAGGACACTGCACACAGTTGTCAAAACACAGAGAGGTTATTCAACAAGTGACAAGTGATTGGTACATTATAAATCAAAGAATTGTAGTACATAAATGGTTAACTCATAGGCCTAGAATATCACACAAGCATTTAGCAAATATGGGATAATAAAATTATTCTGACATTATGAATTGCCAATATATAAACAAAGACAAACCGGTAGTACCATAGTTGTATCAGGTACTTCCATGTATGCGCTGTCTTCCCCCGGGCTGGAGTCAGAGGAGGCGGGGTGTGTGGATGCTGCTTCCCCCGGGCTGGAGTCAGAGGAGGCGGGGTGTGTGGATGCTGCTGCTGCTGTGGGCTCGCTCCTCGCTCCGTGACGCGAGCCTGACGCAGTCCGCCTCCATCAGCTGCAGAGCCCGAAAGCTCCGACACAAACACCGCCTAGACACAACCGAGCGAGACCCCGACAGCCGCGGAAACATGTAGATCCAGCGCACAGCTCGACACACAAGCACAGAGCAGGGGATCGGGGACGCCGGTAAGTCCACGATCTTAAACAATCGCCCTGAAATCTGAACGCATCTGCCGTGACTTTGAGTCGGCTGTTTCGGATCTGCTAGCTAGCCTCGAGCTAACTGTAGCCTAGCTAAAATGACGACGCCTGTGACTGGATGATGGCAGCCCGTTACCTGCAGCTGCTTTGTGCTCTAGTCGAATGTGCTGCAACTTGTTACAACTTGTTACATAAAACCTATTTATGCTGTTATTTTGATGACGCCGTCCACCATTTTATATAAAACAACGCATCTAAGCCATGTTGCTAGCGTTGGTATCAGTGGCTAAGATTAGCTTTACGATCATCGTCCAGAAACGTGATTTAAAGCAACAACCATCCTTACACTGGATTAAAATTAAAATTAAGGGACGTCTGGGTTTTATGTTAGACGTGTCGGTGTAATATAAATAATAGATGTGATGTAAAGAGTCACATCACGGCGTCCCTTTCCCCCGTGGCCCTCACACATTCCACATACATTCCGCTGGTGTTCTCTTGACCATTAGCATAGGAGCTAGCATGCTAAAGATGCTAATCCACTCTCCCTCAAATGTTGTTATTATATAACAGGAATAACACCTGACATGGTTTAAATTATGCATTTACCGTTATATACATGCAAAATATACTGCCATGATGCAGGATGTGCTGTAGTTATTTGTTTTAGTTGAAGTTTCTTGTAAATGAAAGCAGTGTTGTGGCTCCTTTTTTCTAATCGCTATAATAGAATAAGATCACTGCAGACTGCCTAATTCTGAATGTCTGTACAGCTGAGACTCTGGCAAACAGACGCTATCAGAAATGATTAAATATTTCTTTCCACTGTGGATAATTACAACACATTTGTAAAAAATAGTTAAATGAACTGAAATTCCTGACATTTATTTTGGATTGACACTAGCCAGAATAGTGACCATTAAAAAGTAATGGTTAACACTACAGTTCGAATTCTCCAAAAATAACTCCACAAATGACTGCAAACGTCACAGCAATAGATCTAAACCACTGCAATGCTAAAGATGACTAACCTGGCTGTCTGGCCATATTCCACTCTCCTTAAGTTTTTGAGTTGTATTATATGATCAGACTATCCAGAAGTCTATAATTAGCCTTATTTAGGTAGCTTTGCAAAGGATTTTCTCACCTTTGTGGCTCTGTTGTCACTCATTTGCGATATGTATAACTTCAGATCTAGTAACTTTATATTTATATTCCACTACACACGGGTTATTTTACATTGACCAAACTTCAATAATTAAGCATTTACTCCAGTCATCCCATGCTTTCCTATGGGCTGCTGTATAATGATGTGGTTGCCAAGGAAAGCGTCACACAAGTAGTAAATACCCGAGTGGCCATTCCCCAAAATACTGAGATATTTATCTTCATCAATCTCTTTCACTTCAAGCCTTAGGCCAACAATTTTAGCATTGTTTTTATACCGCAGGACTGGATACAGCACCACCTACAGCAAAACATAAATGGCCCTTATTATGCTTTTTTTTTTTTTTTTTTTTTTTTTTTTTTGGATCTATGTTATAATCATCACATACCTGGAGTTGTGTTTTTCTCTCAAACTGAAAACACTGTTCCGCCTTGTGATGTCATGTGGTAATACAGGATGTGCTCCACTGTTTTTAAACTCCATATACCTTCATTAAAATCATTTGGATAATTTCAGCCCTGGAATTGCCAATTTCTACTGAACAAAAGGTAAAGTGTAGCTGTTAACTTGAAACTACCACATCATGACATCACAAGGTGGAACAGAGCATTTTGATCTTTGGGGATTCTGACAGTGTAATAATCCTGGATTACACAGACATGTGTGAATGAAACAAAACACAGCTCCATATATGTTTTTGAGGAGGGAACAACATTATGACATGGCTTAAAGCTCAAGAGTCAATTTTGTGCAATCTTTAGGTGACCATTCAACACAGACTCATTTCTGTGGGTTATGGGTTTTGTTTCACATGTTAGGAACCCAATTAGAGCACCTGAATTTTGAACATTTGTCCTTCTCCTTCAGAGCTGTTTCATTGTCAGCAGCCATGGGGGGCCACGACGATGAAGACATGCCTTACCTGGTGGGCAAACAGAAGCAGGACGAGGAGCTGAAGAACAAGTTGTGGTGCGACCAGGAGCCCACCGCCAACAACGCCAAGTGGCTCAAAGAGGGACAGAACCAACTGAGGAAAGTCACAGAGAACCAGCACGATCAGGACCACAACTGCAATATCAGCCACAACGGCAACAGCACTCAGGACGAGCAGCAGGGCAACGAGGAGCAGAGCAAGTCCCCCAAAAAGGCTCTGACGCCCGCGCTCAACCAGGAGGAATCCAAGAACATCCTGAACGAGGCGCTGGTGGAGGTGAGAGATACGTTGGGAAATATATCATTTTTGAATCCCAATGGAGCATGCACCCATTAGTTCAGTATGCTTTTAAATGACTTTCACGGCACGCTATACAATGATAAGTGGTTGCAATTTGGGCTATGGCCCAATGCTGGTGTGTTTTTTAAAGATCACTTTCATGTCAAGTAATTATACTTCTAGCAATGTGTGATTAGACATGAGATTTGACTTGATATTTGATGTGTGTGTGTGTGTGTAACCAATGAGGAGGCTATCTAGTTTCAATAGTCTAGCTCTTACAAAAGCTACAAAAACACAAGATCAGCTCTCCATATAAGGTTTGAATTGTGCTTTTTTCAAGAGCTTGTCCAGACTGTAGTGTGATCTAACTCATATGCAGTGAATCTACTGAAGTAAAAAGTAGAGATTCAAATATTGACCAAACAGTAAAGGGTTAGGCTTTGCTCAAATTCGCATACTTATGTGGGCTAATAATACTAGTAGAAGAGTTCAAGCAGTATAGTAGGCTAGTAGTAAATGGCCAGGCTACTGTATTCTCTTATATATTGGCCTGCTATGATAACACTAAACTATATGGGACACCAGCTCATTCATTAATGCCTAAACAATGCGGTGACCCCAATCAAGTCTTATTACACACATTTATTTACCTTATTCAGCAAATTGCCACGGGTCCCACACTGCATAACATTTTTAGCAGTAAAAATTCTCTGTTGTACTCCAGTGAAATAAATGGGATTCCTGCTTAACCACAAGTGCCAAGTGCAGGTTAGAAGTAAACAGTGGAAAGGGGAATATTCTGCAACCAATACCCAAAATTAAAAAGAAAACAAACCTGCAGTGCTTACTTTTTGTGGTCTATTCACATTTTTTGCAATACATCTACAAAACATTTGAGTTAACATTTTGTTAATATTGCTCACCTGTAGGCGCTGGTCATTGACTCCCTGGACATCAGTGAGAAGGAGGATAAGACAGAGGAGGATGACCATGAGAAGGACGAGCAGATGGGAGGGGGCAGCAGAGGAGAGAAGGAGCCGGAGGGGCAGGAGGCTGAGGAGGCTCAGACGGAGTCAAGTGCAGAGGTGCACAGGGAGGGCAGTGTGAGCGGGAGGAGTGCATGTTTGCTTTTCTCCAACATGAATGAGACGCCCGTGGAGGAGGAGACCAGCTGGGCTCCTCTGTGCCAGGATAACCCAGCAGAAACCACGCCCAATGGTAACAGAGGTATGCATGCATGTCTGGAATAGATCAGATTTTTGAAACAGTTTTGCTCCATGCTGTTTCAGTGAACATGTAGTGTGTATGTTTTAGAGCCCGACCGATATGGATTTTGCTGTGGCCGATATGAAACCAATATAATGGAAGTTGGAGCTGCCGATAGCCGATATAATCACCGATATATTTAGTGATGTAAAAATTCACTGTAAATGTTGAATTGTTTAAAAAACTTAGGTTTGGCTCTGGTGGATTTTAAATTGGGTTTATTTAGGCAACGTTTATTGTTATCTGCCTCTTTACATCATATTTACAGACAGTAGGATGACTTAATGGCATTTTTGCATCACATTCTAGACACTAGTGATGGGTATTCCAGTTCTTTTTAGAGAACCGGCTCTTTTGGCTCGGCTCACTAAAAGCTGCTGGTTCTTTTGGCTCCCAAGTGGCTCTTCAGATTGTTTTGTTGCAAGCAGGACTAAAGCACGTCTAAAGCAGGACTGAATCAGGACTGAACCAGGACTGAACCAGGTCTAAACCAGGACTGAAAAAGGACTAAACTGGGACTTATTTATTTTATGCTAAACTACAGTCAAATATGCTCGGTTTTTTTTTTTTTTTGTTTTTTTTATCCTATGTACACGCAGATTTCTCAAAGTTTCGTTTTTAGCCGCTGTCAAACCACGAATCTGCACGTGGCGTGAAGAGAAAAAAAGTGAGAGAAAGAGAAAACACGGCTCCCAATAAGGATCAGGCTCCCGTCGTTCCCTTCAAAGAGCCGGTTCTAAGAGTCATTTCGTTCCCGACGGACCCATAACTAGTAAAGAAACTAGCGCTATTAGCCTTTAGCCGTAAATACGTGCGCGCCGTGGTAATTAATTATATGCGCAAATGTCATAATTCACACGTCTGTTCACAGCTCATTTACATATCAGTGCAGGTCCAGTAGCAAATATACAGCCAATATAGTCACTTTAGAACAGACCAATAGAAAACAGTCTGTTTATGTGCGGAGCTACAGCAGCTAACCCATAACAAATGACCAAAACTAGCTTCAGAGTCGACATATTTCCAACACTCACCGCTCATACAGGCTCCTCCTCACATCACAAATCTGCACTAATAAATGTCCTTTTAATCCAGACTCAAACCGATTGTCCGTAAAAAGAATATAATCTCAGTGTTTGGATCTGTGTCTGCAGGTGTAAACAAACACACGTGAGTGACGCGACTCTGTGGTGTGTTCAGGGACAGTAAGGACACACACAGACAAATGACTCCGTAGATAAATACTGATGTGGAGCCACATATTAGGACATTTATCTGTCTGTAAATTGGATTAAATGAACAGAATGTAGAGAGTCTAAGCTTTATAACGAGGTATAACATGCCCACGTGAAATATCGGCCCCTATCAGCTGATATGCCTAAAGTTGCCCATATCAGCCGATAATATCGGCCAACCGATATATCGGTCGGGCTCTAGTATGTTTACATTGTTTCCTGGAGACTATGGGACATTTTTTTTTCCTGATTTTGAGGAAAAACATTTTGGGATCTTTGTTATCAGACAATTATTGTACATATCAGTCTTGCTAAATTGCAAAATATTTTTTTGTTGTTGTTGATGAACAACAAATTGGGAATGTGCTTCATTGCAAAAATAGAACAAGGAGGAATCATGATATTGTAGGCATAGCATGATGTTAGTAAAAGATTGGGATGTCTTCAATGAATTAAACTGGGAGTCTCTGGGTAATCATCTTAAATCAATCTTATTGCATATGTTGGCTGAATAAGTTTGACTTGCAATGTTCTGCCAAAAAAAAAATCTTTGAAGGAAAGAGCCAAACTCTTTTGTTCATCTTTGTTCATCAACTCTGATGTCTCACAAGGAAAATACAGTTCTCACCAGAACAATAATGCAGTGCTTTGCTCAGACAGACACTTTTCCTCATTCACTTCTCTTATTGGACAGTCTCTGTAATGCAGAGTGAGCAAGAGATGAATTTAACCAATCACAGTGAAGTATGAACTTTCAGATGAAGTGGATGGCTTTATTTACATTTTAAAGGCAAAAGAAAAAGTGCACATAAATAGTTATCAAACTGAAATTGTCATCTGGCTCCAAGAAAATTGTGTTTATTATTGTTTTGCTGTATTTTCCACACTGTCTTTTGGATTTGGATTTTAAACCATAAAGCTGCTGGTTATATGAATCAACTGGGAAAACTCAGTGAAGATTTTTACATCAACCTCTGAATACTTTTTTGGACAATATTAATTATCAGAATGAATTTGTTAAACTGCAAATGTACAGATAAATACTGTTCTCACCCTTTAGAATCTGATCCATCAGTTAAAAAGTCCTCATTATTAGACTTTAGTCCTCATGTCTGTGACTGTTTCCTCTACAGAGTCCTTCTGGGATTCCAGTGCTTTTGAGACGGACACAGAGCTGCCCTCAGGGTGGATGCGAGTGCGGGACACCTCAGGCACATACTACTGGCACATCCCCACAGGGACCACCCAGTGGGATCCCCCCTCTCCCCTTGGAAGGGTCTCTGACTGTCTGCTGTCCTCCAGCATGTCCCTGGAGACTACACCTGTGGAGGAGCCTGAAGTGAGACACAGCCCACACGTAAGACATGACTAAGTTCTGTTAGGTATTCACTCATCTCTTTTCTGTCAGGATTCTTGGAGCCATCTTTCCAACACAGAAGAAACTGCTCAAGAAGGAGAGCTTTGGAAGGTCAGTTCATACACTATTCAAACATTTACACAGTAACAGCTGAGCCTAAACCTAGTCTAAAGTGTCTTCTAAATGTACCATCTGTATATTTGATTTGGTTATGCAGGAGGGCGAGGTGGCACCAGACCCAAGCCTAAAGGAGTTTGAAGGAGCAACATTACGCTATGCATCCATTAACCTCAAGTACGTCATTCACAAGAAAAACATGCTGTTGTAAGTGTTTGTATTAAACCAATTAAACCAATTTTTCATGTTGTCATTGTAGCTACAACAGCTCCCAGTCTGAGGATGAAGAGAAGCTTGCTCCCCTGTCTTCTGGTGTAGAGGCAAAGGTCAAATACTTTTCCTTATTGACAGTATAGCTCATTATTTATTTTACTATACATTTTTACAATTCCTATTGATATACTTCTGAGTTTTAAGTGCATTGTTTTATTACAGTGGTAAAACTACATCATCCACAATGCTTTGTTATATTCCATACACTTTTTATTATGAGATTGAAGCTTTTTTTCAATAGACTTTTGCTTCTAACATAATTTAAAGAGGCCCACAAATATACAAAACTGTACACAGCAGTCTGACTGATGCAATGTGCAGTTTCATTAGTGGAGTGCACGGTGATTGTGTTGTGATAGTACTCTGAATCACAGTGAGTAATGTTACGTCTCTCATGTACAGTGTTTTGCTGTGCGCTCGCTGGGCTGGGTGGAGATGTCTGAGGAGGATCTGACTCCAGGCAAAAGCAGTGTGGCTGTAAACAACTGCATCCGCCAGCTGTCCTACCACAAGAACAACATCCACGATACAGCCGGCATCTGGGGAGAGGTACACTGACAACAACACAGCAACCGCACTGTGCATGACTCATGGTTCATTTACATGGAGCGCTCCAATGGTTAATAATTAACTATAAAAATAATCCTATTTGTATTTGAATGAACATTGGATCGGCTGGACTATACAGATTCTAAAATGCACAGAAAAAGACCTTTTATAACAGACAGTGACATTATTATAACAAAATAAATTGATAAATATTGTATTGTTCCTGAAGGAAATCACATTAATCAATTAAATTGATAACAATAATAGAATTTACTTGTAATTATTATCTATTGAGAAGCCTTCAGTAAGCATGACCCTGTTTCAAGAAGCTCATTTAGCCCAAACATGGGGTTTGTTCACTCTGAAAACATCAACTGGACGATATTGGGGAAAAAAGAATCACAAAAAAGTGTTTTGTTTTTTTTCCCCCATATTGATTGCTCTCGATTTGATCTTCTTTCATCTTATTAAAAACAGACATGCAGACTTCAGGCACAAAGGGCAGGCTGTCAGAATCACTGCAGTTTTTATTTCATGTTAATAGGACCAGTCATTCTGGAGGAATTCACATTTAAATTTTGTAATGTTTGAAAGTTTGTACAATAGGCGAGTTTCAGCTGACGTCATTGTTATTAAAAGCCCGCGTTGCATGCTGGGAAATATTTTGGTCGGAGGCAAGAAACATGGTAGCGGTCAAACACAGTACGTAACCTCGCGTATTTATCCCCGATAATGGTAAATTCCTGCTGCATTATCGGAGGCACAAATAGAAGCATGGAAGAAGGAAAATGTTTTTTTCGTATTCTGAGTGAAAAGAACCGCTAATGGTGAATTAAACGGCTTTCATCAAACATCCGCAGAGCAAACATAGAAGATCCTAACAAACCGTGGACTCCAACAAGTTCAACAACACATCGAGACTCTTGGAGGTTTTCATCTTTTCTGCTGTGAATGACCCAGGAGTTTCCACCAAGTCATTGTGGATATCGCCGAAGTGAATATTTGGCCAGGTAGTTGGCGATTCTGACCAGAAATTTGGTTTGGTCCAGGCCCTGTCGGGGTTGAAAAGGGTGATTTGTCGTCCATCGATGCTTATGACCAATTTCTGGTCAAATGGTCTTGGGTCCTCTGCCGTTAGAGTGGATAAATAACCGGGATCAATACCCTTTACGTGCTTTCTCGCTCCGTCCGTCATGTTGAATTAGTGTTTCTTGCCGCGGACCAAATAATTCCCAAAATGCACCGCACACTTTTGTCAACAATGAAACTCGCCTATACATTAAATCTAACAGCACACGCATGTTACAGAAACACATGCACGTGCACTACTGCTATCAACAGAAACACATGTGATGTCTGTGCATTAAATGAAGTCTCAAGTTTCCTTCATACAAATTCAAATTCATTGAAACTGTGAGAAAATAGTTTTTCTGTGGCTTGGATTGTAAAGATGAGAAGCCCCAGAAGAGAGAAAGAGGAGAAAAGGTGAGGATCTGTATCAGAGAGGGATGAGATTCCAGCGCACACAGAGACACTGGACTTCAAGTCAGTCAAATGGCAGATTTAAGTTAAAACTTCTGAATATGTGAGGAAACTTAAAGAACTTAAACTTAAAGTGCTGTGACTCAGGCTGCTTTTTCCAAACAAGAGCTTAAATCGTCGTCAGCACCACATGCTCTTACTGCCACATGATTGGCTGTTGACCTGTCGAAAAAGTGCTTGCCTTATTATTGAGATTGACCAAAGTAGAGATCGAGATCTGTTGATCTTTTGATTTTTGCCACAGCCCTATTTTTAGTTTCACAGAGTTTCACAGAGTTTCACAGAGAAACCCTGAGTCAGTCACCATGGTAACTCAGTCTGTGACCCTATCCTGGTCCAGAGCAGGTTTTATTCCTCCAACACAGAGTTTAATCAGACACTGCTCCTGAAGGAGAGCTCTGATTGGACAGTTCACTTCCCCGTTCACAAAAGTAGGAACAATTGAACAAGATTAAATGATGAGAGTTTGATTTAAGTGAATTTATTTTCCACTTATATACATTTTATTTCAATTTGTAATTCATAATATAACACAAATCACTGCTCATGATGATGCTCTTATATTGATCAAGTTTATATATCAAGCAAATAGATGAATTCATTTTGTTAATACATTTAATACATGTTTTTAATGTCACATATTAAAGAAGTGTAGTTTAGTTTAGTTTATGTTTCTACACTCCAAATGCTCAAATGTATATCATTCATCAGTGACATGTAATATGTGTAAAATCATTTTTAGTTTTAAAATACTGTTTAATGAGCTGTGAATTGTGAACAATACATCTAATGTGTTTTAATGCATCATACCAATTATTCATTAAAGTATGTCCAGATTCACATGACTATCCTGTCCCTGTAAATGGAAACTTGCTCTGGTTTACCGTTGCTATGTTGAATCTTCTTTTCCTTGATCCATTGATCAAGGCTTTTCTCCTCAGCTAAACTCAAAGTGAACAAACTCTGAGTGGTCTAACGTTACTCCAAACTTGTTTTCTGAAATGGAAAACTCTGAGTTGGCCCTGTCTGAATTTAATAACTCTGGGTCAAAAATTAAACTTGGAGTTAGTTCAACCTGCTTTGTGAAATGGGGCTAATGTCTTGATGACTCTTAAGGCTGAACATGTGTTTTGAAATCCAAATTCACAATACAAATAATTGTTTGTCTAGCTGACTGACTAAACTGAAAAAAAATAAAATGTGCTGACTAGTCGAGTACTAAAATAATAATTTAACATGGCCATGTTTTATTGTTTAATGGACAAAAGCTTTATCATTAAGACCAGAGAGGACACAGTGGACTCATTCTGGCCCAAGAAATGCTTATACAATATATCTGTACTGGAGCAAGACACATTTGTTCAAATACATGGGAAGAAAAAACAGGTGCAGTGCCTTGAATGTGTATGATTGAAATGTATCACCACACAAGCCATGTTTTATGCCCAATAGTGTGCATTGTTTTACTGAAAAAACTCTCATGTGTTTGAACCAGGGCAAAGACATGCTGATGGTGTTGGAGAGTGACACCATGAAGCTGATCGATCCTCTGGGGCAGACCCTGCTCCACGCTCAGCCCATCGGCAGCATCCGAGTGTGGGGAGTGGGCAGGGATAACGGCAGGTACGGACTCACCCAGCCTGGACCATCCTAAGACTGGTCACATACAGCCTCATGAATGGATGCACTGGTTCCATAGAATCTAAAGTATCATTCTTGAAAGTATAATTCCTCCTCTATTTGCTCCACAAATCTGACTGACCACAACTTACTTTTGTTCCTTGCATTATTTCCTGCTACAAACATAAGGCTGACTTCATTCTGACTCACTATGCTCATTCTCCTGTCTGCTGCTGCCCTCTGCTGGAGAGTTTTGATAACTACAACAGAGAAAGAGAAAGCGCTTTTTGTTGTAATCAACCTTATTTATTCTAACCTCTCCTTTTCTCTTTCATGCTGCTTTTTCAACACTCACAGGGAAAGGTATATTTCAATCTACATATTCCTTAAACTTGTACTTTACTTGTAGTCCTTTTGTACTGTATAGTGTGCATGCAAATTAATAATTCATTTATTTATTTAAAGAGCCTCTATGAGACTGTTTTCTGATCTATGTTCTAATATTTCCTCATCACAAGCGTACCTGGAGTTTAGTTGTGTTTCATTCACACACCCTGCATATTTAGGCAGAGTTCTTTTCTCAAACAGAAAACACTGTTTCACCTTGTGAGGTCATACAGTCCCTGACAAAAGTCTTGTCGCTTATCCATTTTGTAGAAACAAAAGCTTATAACCTGACTTTAAATTAATCGATTGGTTTTAGAAATGTCTCATATGAAAGCTAAAACCCTCCCAAATTATGCTCAATGTACTAAAATAAATTTGCTTCACCGAAGAAAAATTGATCATTTAATGAACACAGAAAGGTCAGATTTTGGCAAGACAAAAGTCTTGTCGCCTTGTCATATGGTGCACCCAATCCTAGATTACAGCCTCACCTGTGATCAGTTACTGATCAATCAATTAGTGGGTGTGTATAAAAAGAACCCCAGCACACCAGACCTTCACATCAACTGCAACTTGACCTCTGACAACATGCCTAAGATCCACCCTGAGACCAAAGCGTTAATTATCAAGAGGCTGAAGACCAGATCCACTGCTGAGGTGGTGACACCTTCAATGTGTCTCAGCGTCAAGTACAAAGAATAAGAAAAAGATCTGAAATGACTGGAGATGTTTTTGACAAGCCCAGGTCCGGCAGACCCCGCAAGACAACTGCTCGGGAGGACCGTTTGTTGATTCGAAAATCCAAGGTCAGTCCCTTTTCCACTGCAGCAGACTCCACCAGGCCTGGTCACCTCAAGTCCCTGTGTCAACCACAACAGTTTGTAGAAATGGCCTCCATGGTCGAATCAGTGCACAGAAACCAGCACTAAACAAAAGGCAATTAAAAAACCATGTTGCATTTGCCAAGGCCCACAGCCTGCTAAAAGGATGGACACTGGAAAAGTGGCAGAAGGTGGATTTCTCAGATTAATCTTCAGTTGAATTACATCACAGTTGCCACAAATATTGCAGGAGACCTACTGGAGCCCGCATGGATCCAAGATTCACACAGAAAACAGTTAAGTTTGGTGGCGGAAAAATCCTGGTCTGGGGTTCCATCCAGTATGGGAGTGTGTGAGACATTTGCAGGGTGGAAGGCAAATATCAATAGCCTAAAATATCAAGAAGTATTAGCTCCTCTTACATTCCCAACCATAAAAGGGGTCAAATTTTGCAGAAAATGTTCGCATACTTCTATCTCTACATCAAAGTTTCTCAAGGCGAAGAAGATGAAGGTGCTCCAGGACTGGCCAGCCCAGTCACCAGACATGAACATCATTGAGCATGTCTGGGGTAGAATGAAAGAGGAAGCATGGAAGGCAAAACCAAAGAATCTTGATGAACTCTGGGAGGCATGTAAGACGCTTTCTTTGCTATTCCTGATGACTTCATCAACAAATTGTATGAATCATTGTTGAACCGCATGGATGCGTCCTTCAAGCTCATGGAAGTCATACAAGATATTAAATATGGATCTCACAGCACCACTACTTCATTCACTGACGTTATGCAACATATTTTTGTATTTGAAGTAAATTATTTGTTCAATTTTCTGTAGGTGACAAAACATTTGTCTTGCCAAAATCTGACCTTTCTGTGTTCATTAAATGATCAATCTTTCTTCAGTGAAGCAAATTTATTTTAGTATATTGAGCATAATTTGGGAGGGTTTTAGCTTTCATATGAGACATTTCTAATTTACCAAGTCAGGATTAAAAGTATAAGCTTTTGTTTCTACAAAATGGATAAGTGACAAGACTTTTGTCAGGGACTGTATGGTAATACAGGGAATGCTCCAGTGTGTTTTTAAACTAAGTACACCTACACTAGACTCCTGTGGATGATTTCAGCTATGCACATAAAATAAAATAAATAAAAGGTAAAAGTAGCTGTTCACTTGAAAACTACCACTTCGTGACATCATGAGGTGGAACAGAGCATTTGGAGCTTTGGAAATGTAGACAGGGTTACTCAGAAGTGTGAATGAAACAAACATAATTCCAAATATGTTTTTGTAACAACATTAAAACATCTTGAAGTTCACAAGAATCCATTTTATGTGTTTTAGTACCTTTAACAATGACATTATTTTTTGTGTTGGTGCAGGGACTTTGCTTATGTGGCCAGAGACAACCTGACACAGGTCCTAAAGTGCCACGTGTTCCGCTGTGACTCTCCAGCCAAAAACATTGCCACCAGTTTACATGAGATGTGCTCAAAGGTACTGGACAATTCCTGCTTAAAGAAAAATGACTTATGTTTCAAATATGTTGAGGGCTGACAAATAAGACATATACTGGTAATTCACAGTTCACATTGACTTTATAATTACATATTTGTATATATTTGTTTCTTAAAAGGCCTGTACCAGTTTTGAATGTATTCTTCTTAAGAGAAATGTTCTTTACATCACACATTATACTGCTAAATTAGAAAAAATTAGAGTGTAAAATATACTTTATTCATTTAACATATCATTCATCTTAGGTAAAAGTAAAAGGTCAGAACTAACAGACTAAGAACAGTACTAAGAATCATGGGAAGTGAGTGCATGACACTATCCCAGACAATGACTGTTGGTTATGTGTAAATCACAGCGGCAGGTACAGGCCTATCATGTTAATCTTTGATTTTTCAAGCCAATATTTTATCGTCTTTCTGCAGTAGTTATGCACTAGCATCCTTTTGGCTATGTGAAGGGTTAGAAGGTTTCATCAACAACCCTAAATGTATCATTAATATATTTGTGTAATATTTTTGCCTATATAACTTTTATACAGAGAACAACATTTTTCCCAGATGTAAATCACACAGTTTCTCCATTCTAGGATGTATAATTCATATCTTATTAATAGAATAAAGGTAAATATTTTTGTCACTAATGTGCAATGTGTTGTAAAGTACATAATATTTAGGTGTTTTTTTTTGTTTTTTTTGTGTGTGTGGGGTCAGATCATGAATGAGAGGAAGGCAGCGAGACCCGGGGGAGGCAGACTGAGCACTGATCTGAACAAGCCATTGGGAATCCCTGAAGGTAACAGCTCTGTAAACCTCAGCAGAGAGATGCCGTGCTGGTACTAGTGGCAGTGTTTAGCATGAAGGCTGGTGAAATGAAGCATTGCAAGACAAACTCTACCCTGCCATCATGTGGACAAAAACTGTATCACCGTTTCTAGTCATGGGCCTCAGTTCACAAATGTGCTCTCACAATTCCCTAATTTTCTTTTGTTTAATTTTATATTTTTGCTGTCATTGTAGCACTGTTTTTTTGGAACAGCATCTCATAACATTATTAACCAGCACTTCACACATATTTGTCTGAGCTAAAGAATGAACAGTTGAAATGTAAGTTGGGGATGCAGTATGAGTGGAGGTTAACTGTACTAGTGGAAAGGTTCCACTCAAGTAAATATCCATACACATTGTGTAATTGTACAGCCCAAAGGGAATCTATTCTGTTCAGCTGACCTTATATTTTGAATGACAAAGCTGTCAAACTTATGAAGCTGTTACTGACTCAGTCACATGGCACAGTGCATACATCATCAACACACAGACTGCTCCACACTTCACCAGAAGAGCCTGAACGTGTGAATATGGAGCATAACGCAACTATTAACAATGCAGTACCTTTGCCCTCTGTTCCAAACAGAGTTCCCCGCGCCCAAGAACGAGCTCTTCCAGCGCTTCCATGTCTACTACCTGGGATGTGAAGTGGTGTCCAAACCAGTCGGTAAGAAAATCATCAACATGAGCTACATAGACATGGCTCTAATCAGACATAAGTACATCTGACTTGTGTCAGCATGTTCACGTGGCCCAGAGACACGTGATCATCAAGAACACATGGTGACACGGGTCGACTGATTTCTAAAGAACTGTTTGATTTGGAAGACTAAGTACAGTCACATTTCTTATATCAGATATAACAGTTTACATGACTTTTCAGGAAACTCAGAACTAGGGATGGGCATGATTAATCGATAATTGATCATTAAGAATTTCATCGATTACGTTCATTTTCATCGACAAACCGAATGTAGGTTGCTGTGTGTAGTGTGACCAAACAGGTGTGTACATGTGTCTCTGCATCAGAAGGAGTGAGACACAAACAGTCGGTCAGTCTGCAGTGTACCGAAGCACAAATGTGTATTTAACGATGACTTGTACAAGAAATTCCACGCTTTCCGTTGTGTTCGGGACAAGTGTGAGTCCATGTGCACAGTGTACAAAGCAGCACATATGTTTCAGTGTCCAGTGGGAAAAAGCTTTACCAGGTGAGAGTCGCTCAATGTCGATGACGAGGACCCACCTCCCTCCCCCCGTACGGTGTCCTGGTTTTGACAAACGCAAATCTGGTCACACTAACCTGTATTCACCTGAATCATGTCTTTTAATCCAGCAGAAATTGGCCGCATCAGCGACACAAGAGCTGTATTTTTATCTTCGCTGAGTTTATGCAAATTAGCGATGCGTTTTAAGTTTAGTTTCTGTGAGAGTTGCGCAAAACTGAATTAAACACATTATAATGTCAAACGGATTGATGTGGCTCTAGAGTCGTTACGGTTTATATGTCGTAAAGATGAATTTATTTATGCAGATTAGTAGTGGAGATAGTAATAATAATGATGATCATTTTAATATAAAAACTTTAATGATTAATCGATAATCGATCGTTAATTCTTCCGACGATCGATTAAGAAAATTTCATCGAATGCCCATCCCTACTCAGAACTCCAGAGAATATTCAGATTCTTGTGTGCGTGTGGATATAGCCAGTGTGTGAAATCTGGTAACATCTTTAAGACTGCAGATGAAAAGGGGCAGCACGTTAGCACCATCTACAAGTTTGGGGACAAATCGTTAATCACTATTACCGCTATACTAAGTCAGTATAGCACTTTCACTCAAAGACACTTTTCAATATAGGACTAAAAAAAAGTGTCAAATCAAATAGTTCATCCCCCAAACTTTTTATTATTATTATTATTTTTTTATGCAAAAAATTCTCTTTTTGTGTATTCATTTAGTAGTCAAATGCTTGCATGTATGTTTCAGGAGTGGACGTGATCAATGATGCTTTAGAGGCAGCCATGAACAGCAAAGAGCAGAGTGAATGGACCCCAGTGTCTGTGAACGTGGCCCCAGCTACACTCACCATCCTGACCACACAGGTAACCCTACAGCTGCTCCTCAGGTCAGCTTCACTACACAGACAGTATACTGCAGTACCTGGTCCTATTCAGCTCATTCAAACTGCGTTACACACAAGTAGGGATGTAATGATATCCAATCTCATGGTAAAATATTTTTTGTGTATACTCACGGTGTTATAAAGGGGCTTCACAATATCATATCAATATCGATTTCTCTTGCCTATCTAATAAATCAAATTGTGCAGTAAAGTTTATATTCTTTTTTTTGTAAACATCATAAGACATAGAATGGCCGGCAGTGTTCTTCTGCAGTGTACGTTGTGCTGTTGTCGGTGTTGTAGGGCAGCGCTGTTGCTCTCAAGTCTTTTAGCCTGGACTGGACTTTATTTTTGGTGAATTCATGGAACTTTTCTGAGTGTCATTTTTCCTAATGAGTCCTCACAGTGCTTATATTTCATGAAGATATTTTAATAGCTCCATGGAATACAGACACAGTGTCTCAGAGCTAACCCAAACACTAAATTGTTGTTTGTCTCCTTTTGTCTATTCATGCTTGTGTCATTTTCTGTTCCATAAACATGACTTAACATGTCCCCAGATACAGTAGATCAGATACAGTCTTTCTTGTAACAGCTGTAATGGTATAATGCTTATTCTTAATTACAAAATTGGACATGGGTAATGTTGTTTATGCAATCATTTAGGGCACATTTTTTCAGATCTAAACTAGAGGGTTTTGTAACTTTGCAACTTGTATGTGTCCTCTATCTGCAGGTTAAAGTGCCTATGACAGGATGGACTACATTTGACTAAAACACAGTTCACATCATTATATTTAAGATTTTACTAAAAACACTTTCTTTACCAGTCTGACCATTATTTAGATTTCACATTTTACTTCCTGGCTGGAAGTCAGTAGGCCAAAACTCCTCTAATGCACAGAGAGATTATTATTTGACAAATAAAACTATAAGAAAACACCCTTATTTGTTGAAATCATGTTTAAAATATCAGAAAAATGTGTTTTGTGTTTGTAAGTGTAAATTGTGCCTAAATTTTGGACAGAATTCTCCCAGTGTGATGTCATCAGTGTGGAACTCTAAAATAGAACTCTCTACTTCCTGTAATTTTTCATTTTAACATATTTTTCAACTTTACTTCACAAACTGTGAAGCAGATTTATCTGTTCAAATTAAGTAGAAATGAATGAATCATCAGAAACTTGTCATATGCACTTCACGGCACTGGCATCCTAGTTTCAGTTGTGATTGTAGTACCCTGTTTACATCTGTAAGAGATTCCATACAGTTCCTTTAAACCCCACTGTATTCTGAAGGTTAAACCACACAACCAGTGCCTGACATCTCTCTGTTTCTTGTGACTTGTGTGCAGAATGAGGAGGTCCTAGCAGAGTGCCGTGTGCGCTTCCTGTCCTTTATGGGCGTGGGCAAAGACGTGCACACCTTCGCCTTCATCATGGCCGAAGGACCCAGCGACTTCACCTGCCACATGTTCTGGTGTGAGCCCAATGCAGCCAGTCTGAGCGAGGCTGTGCAGGCCGCCTGTATGGTGAGGGACTGAAGCACCACACGTTTCACTAGAGAACTCCAATCTGTCACTGTGACAGGCAGGGCCCAGAAAAATCTGTCTTGAGCTATTTTTATCTGTCATTGTGTATTTACACCACGTGTGCACAGATACTTTACATGCAGTGTGTGTGGAGCTCCTTAAAAGCAAAAACACAAATCACACTGTCATTATGAAGTCATATGTCTTTGTTCAACATATAGAATAGCGGCTTATTAGTGTTTCCTTTCTTTAAACTTAGTAGTTTCCGTAAAGTCCAGTTTTAGTTCAGTCTCAGCTCAATCCATCCAAAAAGACAGAAGATTAAAACTAGTGTTGATGTTTTGTGTAAAACTATGAGTTGTTGCGTGATGTTCAACCCATCAAAGTGGCACAGCCTTCAGAACTTTCCACAACAGTTGAAAACTCTTCTCTGTAACTTGTGGTCAGCACCAGTGTGACTGGGCAGGCTGCCTGTATGGTTACACTCCACCATAAAGTCATTCTGTATTCACTAAATGCGGTGAAATGCCAATTCAAAACCTGACACAATAGAGGACAAATATACATAACTGTATGTATCCAAACATTACATTTCTCTAAACTATGCCATCAGTTCTAACTTCTGCTTTGAGCATTTGTTATTATGTTGCACTATGTATAATGTCCACTCCACTACACATACTGGACCATGCTAACTGCACTTTTCTTCTCCCCAGTTGCGTTACCAGAAATGCCTGGACGCCCGCCCGCCCAGCCTGGCCTCCTGTCTGCCCACTCCCCCGGCTGACTCGGTGGCTCGGAGGGTGCGTAAGGGCGTGCAGAGCCTGCTGGGCAGCTTTAAGAGCTACAGGTCGGGCTCTCAGTCTCCTGAAAGCACCCCAAGCAAGAGCCCCAGCCAGAGGCAAATCTACAGGTTTCCCCCCCAAGAGCCCCAGCCAGAGGCAAATCTACAGGTTTATCCCACATCGGAGCACCTCTGAACACCTATGTATGGCTGCACAATATTGGAAAAGGCAATCTGAAAATAGCCATGAACATTTTCTGCTTGACATGTGAGACTGGTTGATATGGTGATAAAAACAGAATGTTGATCTCATTCCTGTGACGTTCTGCTGTTTTGGTGATGCCATATTGTGATTCACTATTTGTCTATTTAATGTAGCTCAAACAGACACTTTTTTCCACTTCTACAATTGGTTAGTCATCTGTAAGGCTCTGAGTGACAGGTGGCTTTAACCAATCACAGTGAAGTGTGAGCTTTCAGAAGACACCAATAACTTTATATACCAATACCAAGAAACATAAAGTGAATCCTGATCAAATCTAAAATTATTCTATTCATGTTTTGCCATATCATCCACCACAATATTTAACCTGTTGAAATCAACTGTTAACTTTGAGAGCGAATGGAACATGTCTCCTTCCTCCAAGAAGGGAACAGTCTATTACATGTTCAATGACTACACCTTATTTTTCAATATTGTACAGCCTTATTCAGTGAAAACACAAAACCAGATCAACAACTTTGTGCTGCCATTTTCAAAGTCTTACCTTTTATTTCAATTTCCACACCAGTTTGAATGTTGGACATGGATGTGTATTCCACTTGATTTGCACCACGATGTTACTGTAGCTCCTTTTTCTAAGAAGGGCCTGTCTAGCGTTACCATAGCAACGCCTTCCTCTCACTTTGATTGTAACTACGGCCCTTCTGTGCACTTTGTGTACGGCCTCATGTCTGTGCCACGTTGTAGTTTAGTCTTCCAAAAAAAAAAAACCTCTCACTACGTTTACATGAAGAGTACTCAGACTACGTGCGTTGTCCAGTTATAGTCTGATTTCTGCCAGACCACCCTTGTCCATTCTACCTGCAGGTTCTAAAGCGTAATTACTGGGAGGTGTGTAGGAATTGATAAACAGCATTGGCATTTTCTAGTTCTATACGCTAGTCGAGTAAGCTAACGTGCAGTTTGTTATTGTTTTGCTAATTAATCTTAACTTTATTATAATTTTTAATGCGGAATATTTTGTTAGGCTAATTTTAAACAATGTGGGTCAAAAACGATGAAAAACAAGCTCAGTCGTACATTGTATTACGCGGTTGTGCAGTATGATCTGGCTGTGTTTTGCCCGGTGCAGTTGAATGCCTCTCCTTGTGTAGTCAGAGTACGCTGTGGATGCAGTACTCGAGTTCTAATGGGAGGAGCACAGTAATGTGGTTTTCTTTACATGTGAACGTAGTGAGTGACACATGTGAGGAGAGGGGCCCTGGTCACATGGAGCTGACATTGTTGAAAAAGGGACATTTTTATGAACAATATGACAACAATAAGTTTATCAAGTCCAACTGTTTGATTTTAAATGTGTACAATATTCTCATTACGTGTGTAAAACAATATTCACACAGGTTATTTATAGTTTACATGACATTTTTACTAGATATTATTACTGTATTTTCCGGGCTATTAGACGCGCTCTTAAGCCTCTATCCGCATCAAAAAAACGGCCGCGCGCCCCGCAATCCAGAGCACCCTATACACGAATCCACTCGAGTGTCCCAGCACGACTTCAGTAAACTACAAAGCCACACCACCCACAGAAAACACAAACTCACACGGAGCAGACACACTCATCACTCCACGCCAACGGCCGAGGAACGGAACGGAGGAACGAACCGAAAAAGCGAGTGCAATGTGCACTTCTAGACACAACTGAACAACTGAGTCACTGCGAACACGCCGACAATCCGTTGGTCCCAGACAGCACCCTCCCTACACGCCACAACTGAACAAAGCCCAGAGTCACCGTGAACGCCACAAACAAACAAAACCACTCACCCATCACACTGTTGGGTTTCATTTAAAGTCCGGTGCGGTTTATTTATGAAAAAAGTTAGAAAATGGACCGTTCAATGACAGTGCGTCTTATAATCCAGAGCTCCTAATAGCCCGGAAAATACGGTACTCCTATTTTTTATAATAATTTTAATAAATCATAAAACATAATTGATTTTTGAGCCTACATTTTGACTTCTCTGGATATAAGGTAGATATTGTCCTCCGTGTGGCCAGCGCCCGAGAGTCTGTTTGATTTGTGCATGAACAATTTGCAAGTTCAATGCTCGTGTGTGCAATAACGCCATGTTGTTCTCATTTCTTTGTTTTTTTGTAAGTTAAGCCTGACCCGGCTGGATGTGCGGAGCCGTGTCAAAATGGCTTCTGGGTTGTACAAATGATTGTGAAATGTCCACTTTCCACAGGTAGACTAGACTATTCCCACTCGCTGCATGTTTGAGAAGTAGAGCTTAGGAGCCATCATGTACAAAGTAATTCCATTTTGGTGAGAAAAGACTGAATTGTGTCCAAGGGGTGGGCGATATTGCAATAATGATGATGGTACAGTTTGAAAAGTGAATGAATGAAGAATACCAGCTGCATGCAATACTAAACTGAAATAGGGCGACGCAATTCAATTTTATTTGTGATAACGATCAATCAAAATCAAAACCAAATCAATCAAAAAAGTATGTCGTTCGAAATGTTTTTACTTTCTATTGTGAATGTAATGTGCGCTGGTTCTTATAAAAAATATTAATACTAGGATTGTTATAAATATTGACACCAAGATTCTAATCGATACTTAAAGTCACAGTATGTAACTTTCTGCACATCACTTATGCCATCTGCAAGTTAAAACCATACTACGGAACATTCTTGATGGAGATGGTCTAAATTAGAAGTGTAATATGAATGTGACTCCTGTTAGTTTTGAAAATTATTTGTCTTAAAAGACACCTTCAAAAGATTTTCCTTTTTTCGTTTTTAAATTGTGATCAAACTAAATTATACAAGTTAATATTTGAAAAACGTGACGTAAATTATCACCACAATTATTCGATTACAATTCTGACCCAAATAATCCACGACACCACATATCAAGTGCACTTCTAGTGTACATGAATTTAACTGAAATCAAAATGAAAGTGTTAAATTTCTTTTTAAAATGAGATCTGACCTTTGCTGTATCGCCTGCCCTGGTTTGCGTCTCGTGTTCATAGGCATGTTCCTTCTCAATGTCGATGTGTGTCTAAATATATCTGTAGATTTTAGACTGAAATCGTGACTCAACAGACAGCAGGTAAATGTGGATAGTGGGAAGTCTTCACTTTTGAAATGGTTTTAACGTGTGTGGACCCGCTCTGGTGTAATGTATTTTTTATCCTCTCCGCACACTCAAATGTACACTATTAAGATGGTTCTTTTTGCATTAGCTGCTTAGATTTTACTTTTTATAAAAATTACACTACATATAGAAGTTTATCTGTAAGTGAGTGACTAAATGTATGTAGCACAATAGTGGACTTTGTAAATGAGGCAGCTGGGAAAAGATTAACGCAAGACTAGACTAGTTAAAGATACACTATATCACTTTTCTTGTGGAGTTCTTGTCTCCATGGAGATGTTATTGCTTTGCCTAGAATGCTCCACAGTTTGGCATTATTATTATTATTATGAATTTTTATTCATTCAATTTTAGGTGTTTTTATTTCTCAAAGACAGTGTGAAAAACATATATTGTTACGGTGATCAGAACTGACACAGAATTGACCTAGCACGCACGCACACACGCACGCACGCACGCACGCACGCACACACACACACACACACACACACACACACACACACACACACACACACACACACACAGCACTTTCATACTCAGTCTTTAGTCAAGACACTTTACCCACAATACCAAGTACTGGCCGGGCCTTGCTTAGCTTCTCAGATCTGACGAGGCCTGATCTGATGGGTTTAATGCCATATTGTGAAACATTCCAGTTTATAGCATGTTGGAAAAGATCTACTCATTCACAGAAATCCTTAATGAATAAAATAAAATCAGCTATAAAAAGAAAAAAGTTGCTAAAGCCTTGTTTTTATTATTTTAGAATGCAACTTTGAATTGTAACACTGTCCCATCCTCAGCTGCTCTCTGTGTGCATCACTGTTCCTATGTTCTCTGTTCTGTGCAACACTAAGAGTCCACCATCAGCAGATTAATTTTATTTCTCTTCATGTAAATGAAGTGTACAAAATATGTGTATATAAAAGTCACCGCACAATAAATGTCGACATATCCCAACACTGTTGTCTGTTTCTTCGGGAGTTTTTTCTTTCATTTGAGTCACATTTATTGAACTGATGGGAACTGTAATTGGGCTCAATCATCACAAATGTGCCTGGAGTTTTTTGGCTTCATTCACACAGACTTTGAGGAATCGTGTGTATTTACACTGTCCTGCTTCAGTCACTAGCACCTTTACCTCACAGCAAGAGGGTCTCAAAATCCCAGATTGGGTGGGACTTTTTTGTGCAGAGTTTGCATGTTGTTCTTCCTATGTTTTGGTGGATTTCCTCTGGTTTACACACAACCCAAAACATGATGTAAGTGATATCCTCCCTGGAGTCTGACAGGTTGAGCTAATGGCATTGAAGGATGGGGTCAAATGCAGAGAATTAATGTCTCTTTAGGACACAGCTGTGATACTCGTACATGCAGTGCATATGATTAGATGATTTTACAAATTATCTTGCCTAGAGATTTAAAAAAGGCTGTCAGTTTTGGTGAAGTTATTCGATGTACTTTTTGCTTGGCAGCTGATGTAACATTTGAAGAAACAATTCCATTGTAACTTAGCAGCCATACTGTAAACAAGGGCCTAAGCTATGTCTGATTTACACAGTGGATCCAAAAACAGACATCTTTATGTTCTTTAGAAGCGCTCGTAAGTTCAGGTCGTCGTGTACATTATGCCTGCATTTGGAATTGTAGAGAACTGTGACATACAGTCTACAGAGAGAAGACAGCATTTTGTTGAGGTTCATATTTTTCAGTGGGCTGTGGCCTCAAGGCTTGACATGCACAACACATCACCACTGTGAACACACTTTAAGGTCACATGAAATATCCCCAACACTAGATTTGTTTCAGTAATAATATTATAATATTCTGGACAAACGCAGAATTAATAAAGACATATAGTGCATGTGTCTGCTCTGTAGTTATAATCTATGACACCTGCCCACCATTATTCTACTGAACATCTGTGAGGAGCTGAAAACATGCTGTCTGGAGAAGACACCCCTTCAAACCTGAGACAACTAGAGCATTAGACATAGAGAAATGGGTTAAAATACTTGTTGACCGGAGCAGAAGTCTCATTGACAGTTACAGAAATCATTTGTTTGCAGAGTTTGCATCAAAAGGTCATGCAACAAAATATTAAGTTAAGGGAACCATCATTTGTCATTATTTTGTTTTTCTAATGATTTTGTTTAACCACACAGGTGAAAAAACAATGTTTGATTTTTGTTGGTCAATTTTCAGTAAATTTGATTTATTATTGCTTTTCTCAGTTTCAAGTTATTTCAGTGATTATTGTTGATTTTTCTTTCATTGCCAGATGGATACCAGTAATTTTGTCCATGACTATATATATATATGGACTGAGATGTTTGTTGTTTTTCCAGGTATCTGTTGTAGCCACTCTTCCAGTTTGGGGGTTACAGCCCCGAGTGTCCGATCACCACAGGCTCCACTGATGCCTTCACTTTCCAGACCTTCTCCAGCTCCTCCTTGAGCCCCTGGTATTTCTCTAGTTTCTCGTGTTCCTTTTTCCTGATATTTCCTTCTCTTGGTATTGTGATGTCAACCACCACAGCTCTGCTCTGTTTCTTCTCCACCACCACTATGTCTGGTTGGTCCATCACCATCCTGTCAGTCTGTATCTGAAGTCCCACAGGATCTTGGCTCGGTCGTTCTCCACAACTTTTGGAAGTTTTTTCCCACCTTGATCCTGGGGTCTCCAGCCTGTTGTCTGCACAGATGTTTCTGTACACTATACCCACCACTTGGTTATCGGTCGCTCCATGTTTGTTTCCCTGTAGCATCTTACACCTGCAGTTCTGTGCTGGACTGTCTCAGGAGCCTCTTTGCACAGTCTACACCGTGGCTCTTGTCTGGTGTGGTAGATCTGGGCCTCTGTTGCTTGAGTGCCCAGGTCCTGCTCCTGAGCAGCCAGGATGAGCCTCTGTGTGTCCTTCAGACCAGCCCTCTCAAGACATTGGGAGGATTTCTTGATATCAGCCACTTCAGGTTATGTTCCAGTGGCCCCGTGCAGGGCTTGTCCTGCCATGATGGTCCCTCCAGCACCTCTTCCTCTGGACCCCACTGTCTGAGACCATTCTCTGAGGACCTCATCTGTTAGGGAGTTGTCCTTGATCTACTCAAGGAGCTTGGATGTTTCATCCTAGTCCTCGGTCTCCTTCCTTCCGGCTTGTGTACAGTCACAGGGTGCTGGATTTGGGATGGAACCCTCCATGCATGGTCAGGAGCTTTCGTGTCTTAACATCTGTGGTCTGTATCTCCTCCTTTGACCAGTGCATGATTACTGCTTATGTATGCATGTATGTATGTATGTATTGAAGGCTGTTACAAATAATAAAGTGTGGTGAGTATACCACTTGCAATTATTAAATGCTGAAATCATATATTTGTTTAAATGTTGTTAATGAAGTCACACAGTTAATGCTTAACTACTGAAATCTGATACATGTGTTTAAAGAAACTGCTGTGTAGGTTGTGTCTTTTTTAAGGAAATTCTGTACAGAGCAGCTGACAAGGGGACATCCTGGCTGGCACCCAAATCTAAATAGATCCGGTCATTCCCATAAATGGAGAAACTTCAAGGAGGACCCAAGGCGTGAACCTGATCAACATATCATTATACATATTTCTGTGAAAGTATATATACTGGGTTAAGGGACAGATGCAGGCGTTCAGACTGCCTGAAACTAAGTCCTGTGTAGAATAGGCCATCAGGGATAGTGGTCTGACCCAGAGCTCTGTATTAGAATTGTATTGGACAGGGAATAAATTCTTTTTACTTTTAATCGATTGATTCCAGTTGTGATTTTTGATAGAACATGCCTAACACTATGTATGTATGTATGTATGTATGTATGTATATGTATTTATTTATTTATTCATTTATGAGATAGGGTCAGTGCACAATTTTTACATGAACCTTAACAGGAGAGGTTCTTGTACCAGGTTGTAGCATCAGTGTTAATTTCCACCTGTCGTCCCTGGACAGGTTCACTGATTGTTTGTATGTAAGTGACCTGAGCTCTCAACTGGTCTTCTTCTTCCTGTGTGGCATGTTTTGGGCATGCTGGGTATCTAACTGGCAGGACGTAGCTGATTCCTGAGCACAGTACATCCTCACTGTGGTGAAACATCTCAAACTCATAGACTAACTTTACAGAGCCACACCTCCTCACACACCTCCCTGGTTCTTGACAGGAGATGAGAGCTTCCCACACACTCTTCTGCTGTCCCCATGCCTGCTCCACTTCACACACTGTCCAACCTGACAGTGGCATCAGAACCTGTTCTCCACTCGTGCCAGGGGAGCTTAACAAACTCATTATCCTGCTGTCAACCACTAAAGAAAGCAATAATTACCACACATTCAGGAGCTGTCTCTGCTAATAAATGAAATCCCACTCCATCCCTTTGTTAATTCAGACTATATAAAGAGAAAGTTTCTGCAGAAGAGCAATGTCAAGAGAAGGATTTGGAACCCACGACTCCATTTGGAGGCCAGAAGTCCATTTGCTGAGGAAAGTGAGTCTGGCACCAGTCTGCTGCCCGTCGCTCTTGATGTGTGCTGTCAGTATGTAGGTCATAGTTCATTATCACCGCTGTACTGGCACAAATGACCACACTCGTACTTACTGTTGGACTGGTACTACACACATATAACTAGTGTTTTATTTAAAGGTTCTTTGAGACTAACATGTCATTTTACAGCTGCTACAATTCTGTCATCCAGGTCATGTGATATACAGAGAGAGCTGTACTGTATATAACAGGCGACTTTGGATCATCAGTAACAGACAAAATGTTTGATTGAGTCTGAAGTTTATGCACAGAGACAAATGTGTTTATAAAGCATATTACTAAGAGACTAGACACAAAGTACAGATAGTAAAGATAGACACTAAATACAAGGATATATAAAGCAGAAATAGAGCAACTCCATGTGCAAACATCGACCATCACATTACGGTCCATCTTCTGAATAAACACATAAAACTATGTTTGAGTGAAGCCCAAAGCCTTTCATTCTGGAGATGAATTGAAGTGTTTCATTGTGTTGTCACTGTTGTGATTTTAATTCAGTGTATAAAAAGGCCTACATTTCAAGAGAAAGTCTCTGCAGAACAGCAATGTCAAGAGAGGGATTTGAACCCACGACTCCATTTGGAGAGCAGACGTCCTGTACTGAGAAAGATGTTCACCTTGAGTCTGGTGCCTTAGGCCTCTGGGTCGTCCTGACAGTCTGCTCCCCCACAGTCTTGGTGTGTGCTGTCAGTATGTAGGTCATGGTCCATTATCACTTTACTGGCACAAATGACCACACTCGTACTTACTGTTGGACTGGCACCAAGCACATAGAAACTAGTGCTTTATGTAAAGGTTGTTTGAGACTAACATGTCATTTTACAGCTGCAGCAATAGTAGTGTATCGAGAAGCACTAAACATAACCAATATTCAACCTTGAGTAAAGCAGCCCGTGAGACTATCTACATGCTTATAACCTGCTCAAAGCACATTATGTATAAGTCCTTGATTACTGACCCAAAGAAAGGTCACATAATAAAATGCTCTAGTTTTATGTTATTATTTCTTTTATGTTGTATGCTATTCTTCTGTATTGCATAGGACAAAAAAAATAAATTTCTGGATTGAGAGGTGGAACGATGGCGCTTTTGGAGGAGACCAGAGCGATCCTGGCTTCTTGCCCTCGATAAGACTGTGTCCAGGGTCTTTTCACTGCAGCCCCGTATCCATGGACACTGAGCAAGAGACTATCTAAGGAGGACAAGGTGACGCTGCAGGACACAGAAGAGGGACATTTTGTCTTTTCCTCTCCTCAAACTGCCCCACACAGATCTGCTGACCCTCCCTGGCCAGGCCTCCTCTTAAACTGCACTCAGACCTTTGACTGAGACACAAGCCGAGTGTAAATGTTGCTGTAGCAAAATTTGAATTTCCCCCGGGATCAGTGAAATATCTCTCGCTCTCTCTGCACCGTGGATCTCCCGTCTCTGCTTTCCAAACCTCCATCTGTATCTGTTGCATGCGCTGGTGTTTAAGTCTGGCTCCACTTCACAGGCTCTGGGCTTTGGGGGGGTCCGGAGGAAGGAGTCTGTGGGGGGCGATGATTATTCACGCTCACTCCTGCGCTCGCCACTGATCCCTCCCATCACACGAAACTATAAATATTAATACCTCTATGGCTTTGTTTTAGCGACCTGTGTGAAGATGTGAAGTACGAGTACGTGATGTTGGGAGTTGCCAGCGTACGTGCCCTGGGGGAAGGGGGAGGAGGGGGGCCAGAGGGAGGCTCCGGGGCCGATTCAGTCAAGGGCACCTCAAGGGGAAGTGCAAATGGAAGAGGTTTATAAAGCAGAGTCCCGAACAATGGAAGCACCGCTGGCTGTTTACTGCGTTAAATAGTGTGATTGTGGATTGTTTTAAGGTGGAATTGAACCTGTAGCAAGGTCGAAAGGCACAACGGCACTCAAGGGCCGCTGGGTAATGAGAGGAAATTGCATGTGGATTACTTCTATACACAGACAGCCTCTTCATACCACCTCAAGATTCAGGAGGAAAATTAGGGCAAATTTAAGAGACGTACACCACTCTTATATTTATCAAGATTCTGACAAAATGTAAGTATTTTATTCTTTTATTATTTATTATTCTTTTATTTATTATTTTTCTTTCTTTTTTTTTTTTTAATCTATCTTATTTATTCAACGTTTAACTCTTTTCATATTTCTGTGTTTTGAACGTCCCAGATGTCAGGTTTTTTTGGCCATTTTAACTTATTTTTATATGAAAATATTGTATGATGTAATACGTTTTTTTTTTTTTTTTTACCTTTGTATAAGTAAACTATATTTTTCCACAAATAGGTTAGAGATTGTAGCATGGTGGACTATTGTAATTATGAATTATTATTAATTAGGATTAGGGTTAGGTTATTAATTATTATACTGAGTCATGAGAAATGTATTCTGTTATTTCACGAGGTTTAACACAGATGTCAGTCCTTTCTATGCACTTCACTTCTTGTAGTGGATTGAAGTATTGGGTTTTTCTTAAAGGTCCTATATGAAATTAAACTGACTCTTGTGAGCTTTCAGACATTGTCATAAAGTTGTTCAAAAACATGTGGTGAGGAAATAACTAGGGCTGGGCACGTTAACGTGTTCATTTTGTGTTAATCAATTCATTAATGCCGACAATTATTTTAACGCCATTAACGCAGTTTTTATTATTATTATTATTTATTATTATTTTTTTTTTTTTATTGTAAACGTCTGTTGCTCAACTGGCTTTTATTTTGAAAAAGTCCATCGCGAGCGTTTCTTTAAGCTTGCTGTCTTTTCTTTACACTTTTTAAATTTTTTTCTGACCACGTGAGATGCAACGTGTCCGAGCTGGTCCCCGCGGCTGAGCCCGCGGCTGAGCCCGTGGCTGAGCCCGCGGCCAGGCGTGCGCTCTGAGCTTCCGCGGACTCCTAGCTCCGACCAGGCCGTGTGCTCCGGTTCACGGGTCTTTGTCTTCTCCTTCTTCCAGACGCACCTGATGCGTCCAAATCGAGGTGTCCAGTGAGGTTTTCGTCGCATTGGTCTTGCTTACATAACTCTATTACAGGGTTTCCACGAAGGCCCGGAAGATTTCGTGATATGATCCCGCCCAGATTGGCTCAGACAACTGTCAATCTCAAACTTCGTTCCAGCCACCGAAGGTTCAGCGCTGCAGGGGGAGTCACTGATTTACCCAGATACCACTGGAAGAAAAACTGTGATTGGTCCATTTCCATTCCATTATATTAACTTATAAAAGGTTATAAATAATCTTTGTCTAAGTTTATAACAATGATCTAGATATTATTACTCATAGTAGTGTTTATTACTCACCGCATAAAAAATACTGAAAACATATATTAGTAGTACAAAAATTCATTCAATATTTTTTCTTGAGCTTTCAGAATACCTTGAAGACTCTAAAGGTTTAACTCTGAAAGAAATGCTGTTTGCACAACAAATGTGCAACTCTTTCATTTACATTTCCAATAAAAGTGTTCTATATGCTACTTTTTAATTCATTATTTGGTTTTGCATATAACATGTGATTAATCGTGATTAATCACTTGAACTCATGTAATTAATTCGATTAATATTTCAAAAAAACAGCTTAATATGGATGTGGCCCGTGTAAACTTAGTACAGAAATGCACTACTTTTTGTACAACTGTCAGCATGAAACATTCCACCAATTTAGTTCTACTTATTATGAAACTATAAAGAATTCTCAAATCGATATTTTCTGACTGCTCCTCCTCCCAAGACCGAGCTGACCTGTCCAGAGAGAGTCATCGAAAACTCCATTCAAAACAAACTCGTTTTCAAAGTGCTCCATCCTCCGGGCGCACACACATGTGACACACCAGGACTCCAAATGGGAAAAGGACAGTGCTTAGAGCCAAAATGGCCGCAGTGGCTGTAATGGGACTTTGTGATTTATAGGTGGGCGAGTGCTTCTCCATCAGAAACAACAGGCGTGACAAGGACCATTTGAAGCAGGGACAGATCGATGGGACAGTATGAGCTCCGTTTATGTCAAGAGCGCACTTTGGCTCAAGAAAAGGGGGGTGTTTATCACATTGTGGGGACTAATATGTGTGAGCTATACACACTCACATCACGGGACCTGCTTCTCTCAAACTAGTGCTGCTCACATCTGCTCATGGGTCCAGTCAANCATCTACAAGTTTGGGGACAAATCGTTAATCACTATTACCGCTATACTAAGTCAGTATAGCACTTTCACTCAAAGACACTTTTCAATATAGGACTAAAAAAAAGTGTCAAATCAAATAGTTCATCCCCCAAACTTTTTATTATTATTATTATTTTTTTATGCAAAAAATTCTCTTTTTGTGTATTCATTTAGTAGTCAAATGCTTGCATGTATGTTTCAGGAGTGGACGTGATCAATGATGCTTTAGAGGCAGCCATGAACAGCAAAGAGCAGAGTGAATGGACCCCAGTGTCTGTGAACGTGGCCCCAGCTACACTCACCATCCTGACCACACAGGTAACCCTACAGCTGCTCCTCAGGTCAGCTTCACTACACAGACAGTATACTGCAGTACCTGGTCCTATTCAGCTCATTCAAACTGCGTTACACACAAGTAGGGATGTAATGATATCCAAATCTCATGGTAAAATATTTTTTGTGTATACTCACGGTGTTATAAAGGGGCTCACAATATCAATATCGATTTCTCTTGCCTATCTAATAAATCAAATTGTGCAGTAAAGTTTATATTCTTTTTTTTGTAAACATCATAAGACATAGAATGGCCGGCAGTGTTCTGCAGTGTACGTTGTGCTGTTGTCGGTGTTGTAGGGCAGCGCTGTTGCTCTCAAGTCTTTTAGCCTGGACTGGACTTTATTTTTGGTGAATTCATGGAACTTTTCTGAGTGTCATTTTTCCTAATGAGTCCTCACAGTGCTTATATTTCATGAAGATATTTTAATAGCTCCATGGAATACAGACACAGTGTCTCAGAGCTAACCCAAACACTAAATTGTTGTTTGTCTCCTTTTGTCTATTCATGCTTGTGTCATTTTCTGTTCCATAAACATGACTTAACATGTCCCCAGATACAGTAGATCAGATACAGTCTTTCTTGTAACAGCTGTAATGGTATAATGCTTATTCTTAATTACAAAATTGGACATGGGTAATGTTGTTTATGCAATCATTTAGGGCACATTTTTTCAGATCTAAACTAGAGGGTTTTGTAACTTTGCAACTTGTATGTGTCCTCTATCTGCAGGTTAAAGTGCCTATGACAGGATGGACTACATTTGACTAAAACACAGTTCACATCATTATATTTAAGATTTTACTAAACACTTTCTTTACCAGTCTGACCATTATTTAGATTTCACATTTTACTTCCTGGCTGGAAGTCAGTAGGCCAAAACTCCTCTAATGCACAGAGATTATTATTTGACAAATAAAACTATAAGAAAACACCCTTATTTGTTGAAATCATGTTTAAAATATCAGAAAAATGTGTTTGTGTTTGTAAGTGTAAATTGTGCCTAAATTTTGGACAGAATTCTCCCAGTGTGATGTCATCAGTGTGGAACTCTAAAATAGAACTCTCTACTTCCTGTAATTTTTCATTTTAACATATTTTTCAACTTTACTTCACAAACTGTGAAGCAGATTTATCTGTTCAAATTAAGTAGAAATGAATGAATCATCAGAAACTTGTCATATGCACTTCACGGCACTGGCATCCTAGTTTCAGTTGTGATTGTAGTACCCTGTTTACATCTGTAAGAGATTCCATACAGTTCCTTTAAACCCCACTGTATTCTGAAGGTTAAACCACACAACCAGTGCCTGACATCTCTCTGTTTCTTGTGACTTGTGTGCAGAATGAGGAGGTCCTAGCAGAGTGCCGTGTGCGCTTCCTGTCCTTTATGGGCGTGGGCAAAGACGTGCACACCTTCGCCTTCATCATGGCCGAAGGACCCAGCGACTTCACCTGCCACATGTTCTGGTGTGAGCCCAATGCAGCCAGTCTGAGCGAGGCTGTGCAGGCCGCCTGTATGGTGAGGGACTGAAGCACCACACGTTTCACTAGAGAACTCCAATCTGTCACTGTGACAGGCAGGGCCCAGAAAAATCTGTCTTGAGCTATTTTTATCTGTCATTGTGTATTTACACCACGTGTGCACAGATACTTTACATGCAGTGTGTGTGGAGCTCCTTAAAAGCAAAAACACAAATCACACTGTCATTATGAAGTCATATGTCTTTGTTCAACATATAGAATAGCGGCTTATTAGTGTTTCCTTTCTTTAAACTTAGTAGTTTCCGTAAAGTCCAGTTTTAGTTCAGTCTCAGCTCAATCCATCCAAAAAGACAGAAGATTAAAACTAGTGTTGATGTTTTGTGTAAAACTATGAGTTGTTGCGTGATGTTCAACCCATCAAAGTGGCACAGCCTTCAGAACTTTCCACAACAGTTGAAAACTCTTCTCTGTAACTTGTGGTCAGCACCAGTGTGACTGGGCAGGCTGCCTGTATGGTTACACTCCACCATAAAGTCATTCTGTATTCACTAAATGCGGTGAAATGCCAATTCAAAACCTGACACAATAGAGGACAAATATACATAACTGTATGTATCCAAACATTACATTTCTCTAAACTATGCCATCAGTTCTAACTTCTGCTTTGAGCATTTGTTATTATGTTGCACTATGTATAATGTCCACTACACATACTGGACCATGCTAACTGCACTTTTCTTCTCCCCAGTTGCGTTACCAGAAATGCCTGGACGCCCGCCCGCCCAGCCTGGCCTCCTGTCTGCCCACTCCCCCGGCTGACTCGGTGGCTCGGAGGGTGCGTAAGGGCGTGCAGAGCCTGCTGGGCAGCTTTAAGAGCTACAGGTCGGGCTCTCAGTCTCCCTGAAAGCACCCCCAAGAGCCCCAGCCAGAGGCAAATCTACAGGTTTCCCCCCCAAGAGCCCCAGCCAGAGGCAAATCTACAGGTTTATCCCACATCGGAGCACCTCTGAACACCTATGTATGGCTGCACAATATTGGAAAAGGCAATCTGAAAATAGCCATGAACATTTTCTGCTTGACATGTGAGACTGGTTGATATGGTGATAAAAACAGAATGTTGATCTCATTCCTGTGACGTTCTGCTGTTTTGGTGATGCCATATTGTGATTCACTATTTGTCTATTTAATGTAGCTCAAACAGACACTTTTTTCCACTTCTACAATTGGTTAGTCATCTGTAAGGCTCTGAGTGACAGGTGGCTTTAACCAATCACAGTGAAGTGTGAGCTTTCAGAAGACACCAATAACTTTATATACCAATAGAAACATAAAGTGAATCCTGATCAAATCTAAATTATTCTATTCATGTTTTGCCATATCATCCACCACAATATTTAACCTGTTGAAATCAACTGTTAACTTTGAGAGCGAATGGAACATGTCTCCTTCCTCCAAGAAGGGAACAGTCTATTACATGTTCAATGACTACACCTTATTTTTCAATATTGTACAGCCTTATTCAGTGAAAACACAAAACCAGATCAACAACTTTGTGCTGCCATTTTCAAAGTCTTACCTTTTATTTCAATTTCCACACCAGTTTGAATGTTGGACATGGATGTGTATTCCACTTGATTTGCACCACGATGTTACTGTAGCTCCTTTTTCTAAGAAGGGCCTGTCTAGCGTTACCATAGCAACGCCTTCCTCTCACTTTGATTGTAACTACGGCCTCATGTCTGTGCCACGTGTATCGTTGTAGTTTAGTCTTCCAAAAAAAAAAAACCCTCACTACGTTTACATGAAGAGTACTCAGACTACGTGCGTTGTCCAGTTATAGTCTGATTTCTGCCAGACCACCCTTGTCCATTCTACCTGCAGGTTCTAAAGCGTAATTACTGGGAGGTGTGTAGGAATTGATAAACAGCATTGGCATTTTCTAGTTCTATACGCTAGTCGAGTAAGCTAACGTGCAGTTTGTTATTGTTTTGCTAATTAATCTTAACTTTATTATAATTTTTAATGCGGAATATTTTGTTAGGCTAATTTTAAACAATGTGGGTCAAAAACGATGAAAAACAAGCTCAGTCGTACATTGTATTACGCGGTTGTGCAGTATGATCTGGCTGTGTTTTGCCCGGTGCAGTTGAATGCCTCTCCTTGTGTAGTCAGAGTACGCTGTGGATGCAGTACTCGAGTTCTAATGGGAGGAGCACAGTAATGTGGTTTTCTTTACATGTGAACGTAGTGAGTGACACATGTGAGGAGAGGGGCCCTGGTCACATGGAGCTGACATTGTTGAAAAAGGGACATTTTTATGAACAATATGACAACAATAAGTTTATCAAGTCCAACTGTTTGATTTTAAATGTGTACAATATTCTCATTACGTGTGTAAAACAATATTCACACAGGTTATTTATAGTTTACATGACATTTTTACTAGATATTATTACTGTATTTTCCGGGCTATTAGACGCGCTCTTAAGCCTCTATCCGCATCAAAAAACGGCCGCGCGCCCCGCAATCCAGAGCACCCTATACACGAATCCACTCGAGTGTCCCAGCACGACTTCAGTAAACTACAAAGCCACACCACCCACAGAAAACACAAACTCACACGGAGCAGACACACTCATCACTCCACGCCAACGGCCGAGGAACGGAACGGAGGAACGAACCGAAAAAGCGAGTGCAATGTGCACTTCTAGACACAACTGAACAACTGAGTCACTGCGAACACGCCGACAATCCGTTGGTCCCAGACAGCACCCTCCCTACACGCCACAACTGAACAAAGCCCAGAGTCACCGTGAACGCCACAAACAAACAAAACCACTCACCCATCACACTGTTGGGTTTCATTTAAAGTCCGGTGCGGTTTATTTATGAAAAAAGTTAGAAAATGGACCGTTCAATGACAGTGCGTCTTATAATCCAGAGCTCCTAATAGCCCGGAAAATACGGTACTCCTATTTTTTATAATAATTTTAATAAATCATAAAACATAATTGATTTTTGAGCCTACATTTTGACTTCTCTGGATATAAGGTAGATATTGTCCTCCGTGTGGCCAGCGCCCGAGAGTCTGTTTGATTTGTGCATGAACAATTTGCAAGTTCAATGCTCGTGTGTGCAATAACGCCATGTTGTTCTCATTTCTTTGTTTTTTTGTAAGTTAAGCCTGACCCGGCTGGATGTGCGGAGCCGTGTCAAAATGGCTTCTGGGTTGTACAAATGATTGTGAAATGTCCACTTTCCACAGGTAGACTAGACTATTCCCACTCGCTGCATGTTTGAGAAGTAGAGCTTAGGAGCCATCATGTACAAAGTAATTCCATTTTGGTGAGAAAAGACTGAATTGTGTCCAAGGGGTGGGCGATATTGCAATAATGATGATGGTACAGTTTGAAAAGTGAATGAATGAAGAATACCAGCTGCATGCAATACTAAACTGAAATAGGGCGACGCAATTCAATTTTATTTGTGATAACGATCAATCAAAATCAAAACCAAATCAATCAAAAAAGTATGTCGTTCGAAATGTTTTTACTTTCTATTGTGAATGTAATGTGCGCTGGTTCTTATAAAAAATATTAATACTAGGATTGTTATAAATATTGACACCAAGATTCTAATCGATACTTAAAGTCACAGTATGTAACTTTCTGCACATCACTTATGCCATCTGCAAGTTAAAACCATACTACGGAACATTCTTGATGGAGATGGTCTAAATTAGAAGTGTAATATGAATGTGACTCCTGTTAGTTTTGAAAATTATTTGTCTTAAAAGACACCTTCAAAAGATTTTCCTTTTTTCGTTTTTAAATTGTGATCAAACTAAATTATACAAGTTAATATTTGAAAAACGTGACGTAAATTATCACCACAATTATTCGATTACAATTCTGACCCAAATAATCCACGACACCACATATCAAGTGCACTTCTAGTGTACATGAATTTAACTGAAATCAAAATGAAAGTGTTAAATTTCTTTTTAAAATGAGATCTGACCTTTGCTGTATCGCCTGCCCTGGTTTGCGTCTCGTGTTCATAGGCATGTTCCTTCTCAATGTCGATGTGTGTCTAAATATATCTGTAGATTTTAGACTGAAATCGTGACTCAACAGACAGCAGGTAAATGTGGATAGTGGGAAGTCTTCACTTTTGAAATGGTTTTAACGTGTGTGGACCCGCTCTGGTGTAATGTATTTTTTATCCTCTCCGCACACTCAAATGTACACTATTAAGATGGTTCTTTTTGCATTAGCTGCTTAGATTTTACTTTTTATAAAAATTACACTACATATAGAAGTTTATCTGTAAGTGAGTGACTAAATGTATGTAGCACAATAGTGGACTTTGTAAATGAGGCAGCTGGGAAAAGATTAACGCAAGACTAGACTAGTTAAAGATACACTATATCACTTTTCTTGTGGAGTTCTTGTCTCCATGGAGATGTTATTGCTTTGCCTAGAATGCTCCACAGTTTGGCATTATTATTATTATTATGAATTTTTATTCATTCAATTTTAGGTGTTTTTATTTCTCAAAGACAGTGTGAAAAACATATATTGTTACGGTGATCAGAACTGACACAGAATTGACCTAGCACGCACGCACACACGCACGCACGCACGCACGCACACACACACACACACACACACACACACACACACACACACAGCACTTTCATACTCAGTCTTTAGTCAAGACACTTTACCCACAATACCAAGTACTGGCCGGGCCTTGCTTAGCTTCTCAGATCTGACGAGGCCTGATCTGATGGGTTTAATGCCATATTGTGAAACATTCCAGTTTATAGCATGTTGGAAAAGATCTACTCATTCACAGAAATCCTTAATGAATAAAATAAAATCAGCTATAAAAAGAAAAAAGTTGCTAAAGCCTTGTTTTTATTATTTTAGAATGCAACTTTGAATTGTAACACTGTCCCATCCCAGCTGCGCTCTGACTGCTCTCACTGTGTGCATATGTTCCTCTGTTCTGTGCAACACTAAGAGTCCACCATCAGCAGATTAATTTATTTCTCTTCATGTAAATGAAGTGTACAAAATATGTGTATATAAAAGTCACCGCACAATAAATGTCGACATATCCCAACACTGTTGTCTGTTCTTCGGGAGTTTTTTCTTTCATTTGAGTCACATTTATTGAACTGATGGGAACTGTAATTGGGCTCAATCATCACAAATGTGCCTGGAGTTTTTTGGCTTCATTCACACAGACTTTGAGGAATCGTGTGTATTTACACTGTCCTGCTTCAGTCACTAGCACCTTTACCTCACAGCAAGAGGGTCTCAAAATCCCAGATTGGGTGGGACTTTTTTGTGCAGAGTTTGCATGTTGTTCTTCCTATGTTTTGGTGGATTTCCTCTGGTTTACACACAACCCAAAACATGATGTAAGTGATATCCTCCCTGGAGTCTGACAGGTTGAGCTAATGGCATTGAAGGATGGGTCAAATGCAGAGAATTAATGTCTCTTTAGGACACAGCTGTGATACTCGTACATGCAGTGCATATGATTAGATGATTTTACAAATTATCTTGCCTAGAGATTTAAAAAGGCTGTCAGTTTTGGTGAAGTTATTCGATGTACTTTTTGCTTGGCAGCTGATGTAACATTTGAAGAAACAATTCCATTGTAACTTAGCAGCCATACTGTAAACAAGGGCCTAAGCTTATGTCTGATTTACACAGTGGATCCAAAAACAGACATCTTTATGTTCTTTAGAAGCGCTCGTAAGTTCAGGTCGTGTACATTATGCCTGCATTTGGAATTGTAGAGAACTGTGACATACAGTCTACAGAGAGAAGACAGCATTTTGTTGAGGTTCATATTTTTCAGTGGGCTGTGGCCTCAAGGCTTGACATGCACAACACATCACCACTGTGAACACACTTTAAGGTCACATGAAATATCCCCAACACTAGATTTGTTTCAGTAATAATATTATAATATTCTGGACAAACGCAGAATTAATAAAGACATATAGTGCATGTGTCTGCTCTGTAGTTATAATCTATGACACCTGCCCACCATTATTCTACTGAACATCTGTGAGGAGCTGAAACATGCTGTCTGGAGAAGACACCCTTCAAACCTGAGACAACTAGAGCATTAGACATAGAGAAATGGGTTAAAATACTTGTTGACCGGAGCAGAAGTCTCATTGACAGTTACAGAAATCATTTGTTTGCAGAGTTTGCATCAAAAGGTCATGCAACAAAATATTAAGTTAAGGGAACCATCATTTGTCATTATTTTGTTTTTCTAATGATTTTGTTTAACCACAGGTGAAAAACAATGTTTGATTTTTGTTGGTCAATTTTCAGTAAATTTGATTTATTATTGCTTTTCTCAGTTTCAAGTTATTTCAGTGATTATTGTTGATTTTTCTTTCATTGCCAGATGGATACCAGTAATTTTGTCCATGACTATATATATATATGGACTGAGATGTTTGTTGTTTTTCCAGGTATCTGTTGTAGCCACTCTTCCAGTTTGGGGGTTACAGCCCCGAGTGTCCGATCACCACAGGCACCACTGATGCCTTCACTTTCCAGACCTTCTCCAGCTCCTCCTTGAGCCCCTGGTATTTCTCTAGTTTCTCGTGTTCCTTTTTCCTGATATTTCCTTCTCTTGGTATTGTGATGTCCACCACCACAGCTCTGCTCTGTTTCTTCTCCACCACCACTATGTCTGGTTGGTCCATCACCATCCTGTCAGTCTGTATCTGAAGTCCCACAGGATCTTGGCTCGGTCGTTCTCCACAACTTTTGGAAGTTTTTCCCACCTTGATCCTGGGGTCTCCAGCCTGTTGTCTGCACAGATGTTTCTGTACACTATACCCACCACTTGGTTATGTCGCTCCATGTTTGTTTCCCTGTAGCATCTTACACCTGCAGTTCTGTGCTGGACTGTCTCAGGAGCCTCTTTGCACAGTCTACACCGTGGCTCTTGTCTGGTGTGGTAGATCTGGGCCTCTGTTGCTTGAGTGCCCAGGTCCTGCTCCTGAGCAGCCAGGATGAGCCTCTGTGTGTCCTTCAGACCAGCCCTCTCAAGACATTGGGAGGATTTCTTGATATCAGCCACTTCAGGTTATGTTCCAGTGGCCCCGTGCAGGGCTTGTCCTGCCATGATGGTCCCTCCAGCACCTCTTCCTCTGGACCCCACTGTCTGAGACCTTCTCTGAGGACCTCATCTGTTAGGGAGTTGTCCTTGATCTACTCAAGGAGCTTGGATGTTTCATCCTAGTCCTCGGTCTCCTTCCTTCCGGCTTGTGTACAGTCACAGGGTGCTGGATTTGGGATGGAACCCTCCATGCATGGTCAGGAGCTTTCGTGTCTTAACATCTGTGGTCTGTATCTCCTCCTTTGACCAGTGCATGATTACTGCTTATGTATGCATGTATGTATGTATGTATTGAAGGCTGTTACAAATAATAAAGTGTGGTGAGTATACCACTTGCAATTATTAAATGCTGAAATCATATATTTGTTTAAATGTTGTTAATGAAGTCACACAGTTAATGCTTAACTACTGAAATCTGATACATGTGTTTAAAGAAACTGCTGTGTAGGTTGTGTCTTTTTAAGGAAATTCTGTACAGAGCAGCTGACAAGGGGACATCCTGGCTGGCACCAAATCTAAATAGATCCGGTCATTCCCATAAATGGAGAAACTTCAAGGAGGACCCAAGGCGTGAACCTGATCAACATATCATTATACATATTTCTGTGAAAGTATATATACTGGGTTAAGGGACAGATGCAGGCGTTCAGACTGCCTGAAACTAAGTCCTGTGTAGAATAGGCCATCAGGGATAGTGGTCTGACCCAGAGCTCTGTATTAGAATTGTATTGGACAGGGAATAAATTCTTTTTACTTTTAATCGATTGATTCCAGTTGTGATTTTTGATAGAACATGCCTAACACTATGTATGTATGTATGTATGTATGTATGTATTTATTTATTTATTCATTTATGAGATAGGGTCAGTGCACAATTTTTACATGAACCTTAACAGGAGAGGTTCTTGTACCAGGTTGTAGCATCAGTGTTAATTTCCACCTGTCGTCCCTGGACAGGTTCACTGATTGTTTGTATTTAAGTGACCTGAGCTCTCAACTGGTCTTCTTCTTCCTGTGTGGCATGTTTTGGGCATGCTGGGTATCTAACTGGCAGGACGTAGCTGATTCCTGAGCACAGTACATCCTCACTGTGGTGAAACATCTCAAACTCATAGACTAACTTTACAGAGCCACACCTCACACACCTCCCTGGTTCTTGACAGGAGATGAGAGCTTCCCACACACTCTTCTGCTGTCCCCATGCCTGCTCCACTTCACACACTGTCCAACCTGACAGTGGCATCAGAACCTGTTCTCCACTCGTGCCAGGGGAGCTTAACAAACTCATTATCCTGCTGTCAACCACTAAAGAAAGCAATAATTACCACACATTCAGGAGCTGTCTCTGCTAATAAATGAAATCCCACTCCATCCCTTTGTTAATTCAGACTATATAAAGAGCAGAAGAGCAATGTCAAGAGAGGGATTTGAACCCACGACTCCATTTGGAGGCCAGAAGTCCATTTGCTGAGGAAAGTGAGTCTGGCACCAGTCTGCTGCCCGTCGCTCTTGATGTGTGCTGTCAGTATGTAGGTCATAGTTCATTATCACCGCTGTACTGGCACAAATGACCACACTCGTACTTACTGTTGGACTGGTACTACACACATATAACTAGTGTTTTATTTAAAGGTTCTTTGAGACTAACATGTCATTTTACAGCTGCTACAATTCTGTCATCCAGGTCATGTGATATACAGAGAGAGCTGTACTGTATATAACAGGCGACTTTGGATCATCAGTAACAGACAAAATGTTTGATTGAGTCTGAAGTTTATGCACAGAGACAAATGTGTTTATAAAGCATATTACTAAGAGACTAGACACAAAGTACAGATAGTAAAGATAGACACTAAATACAAGGATATATAAAGCAGAAATATAGAGCAACTCCATGTGCAAACATCGACCATCACATTACGGTCCATCTTCTGAATAAACACATAAAACTATGTTTGAGTGAAGCCCAAAGCCTTTCATTCTGGAGATGAATTGAAGTGTTTCATTGTGTTGTCACTGTTGTGATTTTAATTCAGTGTATAAAAAGGCCTACATTTCAAGAGAAAGTCTCTGCAGAACAGCAATGTCAAGAGAGGGATTTGAACCCACGACTCCATTTGGAGAGCAGACGTCCTGTACTGAGAAAGATGTTCACCTTGAGTCTGGTGCCTTAGGCCTCTGGGTCGTCCTGACAGTCTGCTCCCCCACAGTCTTGGTGTGTGCTGTCAGTATGTAGGTCATGGTCCATTATCACTTTACTGGCACAAATGACCACACTCGTACTTACTGTTGGACTGGCACCAAGCACATAGAACTAGTGCTTTATGTAAAGGTTGTTTGAGACTAACATGTCATTTTACAGCTGCAGCAATAGTAGTGTATCGAGAAGCACTAAACATAACCAATATTCAACCTTGAGTAAAGCAGCCCGTGAGACTATCTACATGCTTATAACCTGCTCAAAGCACATTATGTATAAGTCCTTGATTACTGACCCAAAGAAAGGTCACATAATAAAATGCTCTAGTTTTATGTTATTATTTTTTTTTTATGTTGTATGCTATTCTTCTGTATTGCATAGGACAAAAAAATAAATTTCTGGATTGAGAGGTGGAACGATGGCGCTTTTGGAGGAGACCAGAGCGATCCTGGCTTCTTGCCCTCGATAAGACTGTGTCCAGGGTCTTTTCACTGCAGCCCCGTATCCATGGACACTGAGCAAGAGACTATCTAAGGAGGACAAGGTGACGCTGCAGGACACAGAAGAGGGACATTTTGTCTTTTCCTCTCCTCAAACTGCCCCACACAGATCTGCTGACCCTCCCTGGCCAGGCCTCCTCTTAAACTGCACTCAGACCTTTGACTGAGACACAAGCCGAGTGTAAATGTTGCTGTAGCAAAATTTGAATTTCCCCCGATCAGTGAAATATCAGTGATATCTCTCGCTCTCTCTGCACCGTGGATCT